GGTTTTGTTAATTTCTGAAGGTTAAAATGCATCCAAAACAAAACAGAAAGAGTTGATTATCTATATTCTGTCTCCTTTATCAAGTTGCTGAGTAAGCAAGCCATTGTTTTGACTGTAAATCACACACACTGCTCTGAAAGGGGTACACAAGTGCCTAAGTGTGGGTTTCAGGTACTTAGCTTTAATATCCAAGAATGAAGACAGGGCTGAGAAAGCTCTCATTGTCCCACGGCTGTCCCAGGAGATGCCGGAGGTGTCAGGGGGCAGCACATTCCCTCATTCCAGATGTCTGCCATGCTTCTGCTGCAGCCTCGGACAGTGACTGATGGTCTGCCTCACTCTGCTGGACTCCTAGACGTGATATTGAACCCTGCCTTTACCCCCAGGAGCTCGAATGCATGAAGGAACACGCAAGCACGGCTGCAGGGCCTTGGCAAGAGCGCTCACAGCCAGGGAGGTTCCTCGCATGAGAGCAGAGGCAGCTGACCCTTTGCACAAGGTTGTGGTTCAACCGTGATCCTTGAAAGGGGAACAATACGGCAGGACATCCTGGCGGACTACGTGCAGTCATTCGCTGCCCTGCCACCCCGTTTCGGAGCACGGATGTCTCCCAAAGCACCACAGCCGCCTGTGCCGGTCCCCTCAGCTGCTCCTCGGCCACGCTCGCCTCGCTCCGGCAGCTCCTGCGTGCTCCTACCACATACCAGCGTATCCCAAATAAATTTTTCGGCAGGCTGCCACATCAAATTCTTTCTCCTGTGGGTGGTCCCCGGGAACAGTAGGGCCCTGTTTCTAATACCAGCACTGATAACAGACTGTTTACAACGTTAGGATTCAATGGGTTTGGTTTTTTTTTCTTCTTCCATGCTGTAAATTGCTTGTCTAGACAGATTTGCAGCTCCAGTCTTTTCTAAAAGTAGGACTTTGACTCAGCTACTGAGGCAATCCTCCGATGGAGTGAATCGTACTGTTAAAAGTAGCTTGCACTGTTCCTGTTTGCCTTCACCTAGAAGTCTTGCAGATGGATTAACTGCTTTTCTTTCCTTTTTTTTTTTTTTTTTTTTTTTTTTTTTTTTTTTTAAATAGACTGTCTCTTTTGCCTGGACATGGGACTAGCTCAATAATTGAAATCACTGTGAACCAAAAATCTGCTGCTTGCATTTCAGGGTGGTAAACTGTTTTAGCGCAGAAGTTTGTTTACCTAGTAAACAGTAATACTAAAAAACTAAAAATAATAATACTAAAATAAAAAGTGTAGAGTCATCATCATCGTAATAATAAAAAATGTTTTTTACCCTGGCCTACATGTGCTAAGGTAGGAAACCCCTCCAAGAGCAGCCCGTCCACGCGCAGATCATGGCACGCCGCCATTTCGTGGCCTCCACTGCTTGCTCGGGTCAGCCGCCCTCACAAAATGGCGGCTGCTGGAGCTCCTCGCTAGGGGGAGCGCCCCTGTGGAGGGAGGCTGGAGCGGCAGCTGGGGTGGCCATGTGCAAGCACTGGCATTTCCCAGCTGTTCTGGGCTTTCCCGGGGAACTGATGTGCAGCCCTAATGTGCCACGCGTGGGTTCAGCCGTGAAGTGAGGTGTCCTTCCTCCTTCTGGAGAATGCAGCCACCACTGCTCATTTGTCCCTTCTCCGGCCATTGTGATGTCTGCTGGGCTGTGTCCCTGCATAGCAGCTAAGGCAGTGTGTGTCTCCAAACATCCATGTGCTTTATTGCTGCAGGGAGGCAGAAGGGCGCTCTTTAAGCAGAGGTGGGTGACCTCGGTGAGGAACGTGCACCACTGGCAAACATGAGCCCTGCTTTCCACACCGGAGCCTAGCACTGGATGAGGCTTTGCGCCCACTGACTTCAGCTTTTGGCCCACATGTAGTGTTTGCCATATATTATCCCCCTCATTAGTTCTCAAAGAGCTGCATGAATATCACATTTGGGAGGATATCATAGAATCACAGAATCATAGAATGCTTAAGGTTGGAAGGGACTTCAGAGGTCATCTAGTCCAACACCCCTGCTCACACAGGGTCACCAGGGCTGTATCCAAGCGTGTTTTAAAGATCTCCAAAGAAGGAGACTCCACAACCTCCCCGGGCAGCCTGTGCCAGGGCTCTGTCACCCTCACTGTCAAGAAATGTTTCCTTAAGTTCCTGTGGAACTTTTGGTGCCTCAGCTTGTGGCCGTTTCCTCTAGTCCTATCGCTGTCCACCACTGAAAAGAGGCCGCCCCCTCCTCCTCACTGCCTCCCTTGAGGTATTTATACACACTGATCAGGTCCCCCCTCAGCCTTCTCTTCTCCAGACTGAACAGACCCAGCTCTCTCAGCCTTTGCTCATAGGGCAGATGTTCCAGGCCTCTGATCATCCTCGTAGCCCTGCGCTGGACTCTCTCCAGCAGCTCCACATCCCTCTCGTCCTGGGGAGCCCACAACTGGACACAGTGCTTCAGATGTGGCCTCACCAGGGCTGTGTATAGGGGAACGATCACCTCTCTCAACCTGCTGGAGACACTCTTCTTAATACACCCCAGGATCCCGTTGGCCTTCTTGGCCACCAAGGAGCTGCTGCCTCATGGTCATCTTGTCATCCACCATGACACCGAGGTCCCTCTCTGCGGGGCTGCTCTCCAGCAGGTCCACCCCTAATCTGTCCTGGTGTCCAGGGTTATTCCTCCCCAAGTGCAGGACCCTGCACTTGCCCTTGTTGAACTTCATGAGGTTTCTCACTGCCCAGTTGTCCAGTCTGTCCAGGTCCCTCTGGATGGCAGCACAGCCCTCAGGGCTATCAGCTACTCCTTTCAGTTTGGTATCATCAGCAAACTTGCTGAGGGAGCACTCCAGCCCTTCATCCAGGTCGTTAATGAATAAGTTGAACAGGACTGGAAATAATATATATATATAAAATATATATATATATATATAAAATATATAATATAAATAATGTAATCACTCCAAAACAGTCCTTATGAAATGATGAATGAACCATTCCTATTCCTTTTTTTCCAAATCAACAGGGTTAAAATGTCCAGCACAGATGTCTCATTTTCAGTTCTAGATGTTTTCTACAGAAGATGGTAATAACCAGTAGTTTATTTTATGGGTATTTTATATAAGGCTATGGAATACAAGCAATACCTGGAGGCCATTTAATTGAAAAGGCTATGAGATGCAATGAGCATATAACACAACAGAGTCTTTCAGGTGTTTTTACAAGCATGGAAATAAATATGTTCCTGTTTCAAAGAAGAAAATGCAATGGTTTTATGACAAGACACAACTGAAGAGAAACGAATCAGACAATATTTTGAAAGCACCAAACTGATTTTGCACTCTGTCAGTGCTAATTTTTCTCCTGAACCACGGAACTTCACCCACTGCTTTTATTTCTGATGATGATTCGAAACACCCAAGAGAAATATTTTCCATGTTTCTTCCTTAAAAACAGCAGAATGGTCTTGACATACGTATGCTTCTACATGCACAAAGTGGATGTGGATTGAAGACTTCCATTGTTCTAAACAGATTTCTGCTGGGTGCCAGAAGGAACATGTATTAAGCTTCATTTCCTGCAGATGTAGTTGCAGGGGATATTCTCAGGGTGTTTTTGGAGGAAAAAAATGCCTTCTATCTCTTATAATACAAAATCCTATAATCATGTCATTGTGTAATAATTGGAGCTTATATTGTTAAATATTTATAAAGTAAATGCTAGATTTTCATGCCCATAGAGAAAGTATTAACCATGCAAATTTCAAAGATTCAAAAACCAACCAAACGAAAAGGTATTTACTAGATATCAAAATCTCATGATTCTAGTGGTGAAACAGGTCTTTTCAATGCTGAGGTTTAGCAGTGCTTGCCTGCAAGTGACCTATTTCTCCCTTCATCCTCAATTCTGACATGAGTGATCCATGTGATTAAGGTGAGAGGGTTTTCTTGTGATTGGACCAAAACTGCTTGTATGACAGGAAAAGTACCTATTATTTTACAGTCATTTTAAAGATTTTAATTCAGACATCTCTTCATGGTCCTTAATTGTTCCTTGTGAGAATTACACTAACAAGAGGCATCTAGAGAAATTTGGAACCTAAAATCCTGTGTTAAAAGCCTATATGGTGTCACCTTTATTTGTTAATAGATTCTATATTTGTCACTAGATTTAATACAGCATACAGGAATTTCTGAAGTCAGTAAATTATTATTATCAGTGATGCATCTCCATTCTATGTAGCAAATATTGCAGAGATTTTGGCAGGTTGCATCTGACCAGCAAACAGCAATATACACTTTTTGAATAAAGCCTCTGCTATCTTAATGCAGTTTTACAAAAAAGTTTTTTGGAATGCAGAAATAAGATAAGCCTCGAAAATGCCTATATTAGGTACAACAAGTTTCCTAATTTGTAACAAACTGAAGTACAGCTGAATAAATAGTTATCTACTTCTGGTTTCATCCAAGAAGACAGAATAACTGCCTACCTTCTGCTGATTCTGCTGCCTCCTCCAGCTCATGTCAAATATAGTAGAGGAAAAGTGCGATCATATGATCTTGACAGTAATATATTTTTTGTGGCTGCAGACTTCCCAAACCTCTGTGTGTACATTCCCCCCGAAAGCTTCCTAGTATTTTTTCCTTCTTGTAAATTTCTTGTTTCCTTTTTTTTTTTCTTTTCAGAAGAAATCAAAGTATTTTCTGAAAACAAAAATACACTAAGAACAAACTTGGAAGTAAAGCAAATGTTTTATTTGTGAATATCAAATAAGTGCAGGTATCTGTGCCCTCTAAGCTTATGTTAGAATAATAACAGCAGCAGCAGCATTTCTTAGAACCTATTTAAAGCCCATAGAAGTCACTGGAACACCTCATGCAATTTTTATTGTTTTGAAGAGAGATACTAATGAATGTGCTCAAAAGATTAACTGGATCGAATTATCCCTGGTAAGTGATCTGGATAGGGTTATGCCTCAAACTGATTTGATTCCTTACACATACACCCACATTTGCAATGCACAGGCATTGCAAAATGCATCCCGCTGTGGTTGCCAGTTGCATATCTCCTCCCAGAGAAGTCTCTTTAGGGCTTCTTCCAATTCCTCTTCAGGTAGCCACTAAAGGTAGTCAGGACAGCTTCTTGAAATCTGTCGCTGTGGAATACCCATAGCGGGATGAGTCGCAGGATGCATGCCTTCGAAACAAACAAGCAAAAACAATGCAAACAACAAAAGGTTACAGAAGCCTCTAGAAAGAGGCTTATCTCAGTGTTCACAAAGTCATAGAAAATAGGAAATTAAAAAAATGCTACTTGATACTTTCATTATGAGTGTTGCTCTTGGAGCGTCTTGGAGGGATTTTTTTTTTTTTTCTGTTTTCAGCTGTTTTGTTCTCTTCCAAGCACTTTTATTTAGTGTATTTAGTGGTCTTCATTGCGGCTAACATATATAAACACTTCTGCTATTTTCTTTGCTTGGTTTCCTAAGAAAATGACATGTCTTAACACAGTCCTTTTTTTCTTTTATTTTTTTTCCTTTCTTTTTTTTTTGGTTTTGAGGGCTTTTTTTTTTCTTTTTTCGTCCTCTCCTTTCCACACTAACATTCCCTCACTAATAGCTTGAATCAGAAGGCCAATTTCTGTAATCGAGTAGGGGGGTCTCAAATTCATTTACTATCAGGGTCATGAAAACATGCAGCTGAAGAAAGGAGACAGACTAACAAGAGAACAGACTTGAGCTCTGCTCAAGATAGAAAAGCATAGAAAACCACACTTCATTAATGGACAATGCCTGTTACCAGCCTCTTCCTCCCTTCATAGTTCCTTGGTGCATTATTAGCACCTTAACAGTTTATTCATCATTTCTCATTTGAAACATAAACTTAATGTCTTTGAAGTCAGTGGAAAGTTCCCTACTGCCAGTTGGTCTTGGTTCTGTTTTTAGGATCCATCTGCAAACTATCAAATTCAATTACCAATATTTCATGGGCCAAACATCCAAAAATTTCATCTCCAAAGGTAACATAATCCAGCGATTCATTAACAAACTCTTCTGGCATCTTTGTGATAAGACTGGGTTTTTGGTGCATTGTCATTGGAGTGGAAACACCAAAAGGAGCCACTACCTAAAATTAAACAAACAAACAAAACAACAGAAGAGTAGTGCATTTGGATCAAACAATTTCATAAGGTCTTGCATTCCATTGTGCAGAATACCCCAGCATCTGACAAATTACAATAGGTACTTGCAGTGAAATGATACTATAGTGGAATAAGGAAAAGACTACAGGTGAAAAGAAAGCTTTGGCAGAAGCACCTTCACTATGAGTGGCTAGATACTGTAAGTTTGAGCATCCTAGACAATATTATTTAACATGAAGGCAAATAATATGGTAAGATATAGCATCACCTGTATGATAATTCCCTTTTCCTTATATTCTGCTTGTAGTGCTTTGGAAAAAGTACATATAAAAGCCTGGGGGAAGAAAAAGAAAGGAATAAAAGGAATTACCTTAACATAGGAACCTCTAAGTACTTGTATATAAATACTTGTATATAAATGATGTTTTGAAGGTACTCTGCTGTCCTGCCTTGGCAGTAGCAGGGCCGAGTATATCTGGATTGGAAAAGAAATAGCCAGCACCAGCTCAAGGCAGACCTGAAACAAATACTATACAGGTTGTACTGAAAACTTTATCATATTCCATGTAAATGGAGAAACATATATACCAGAGTCCCCTTTATCCTAGCCCTTGGCGCTGTTACAAGTGCTTTTGTTGAAACATATCTTTTCAGTCCAAAACTTACGCTGTAGTAAAAAAGGAAGGGAAATCCAGCTAATGCCTTAGCCTACAAATGAGATATATAAAGTAATGTATTTGAGGACTTTGTTACATTATCATTGGAGTACCATAGGGAGCTTGTTTGATTTCATGGAATCATAGAATCATTATGTTTGGAAAAAACCTTCAAGATCATTGAGTCCAACCGTAAACCCTTCAACATCATGCCTGCTATACCATGTCCCTAAGAGCCTCGTCTATACGTTTGTTGATTTCTACAGTTTCAGCCCTCAAGGTTGATATTTCCAAATTTTTTTTCCACAAAAATGCTATATTAAGAGGAAAACCTGATGGCATTTCATAGCCATCCTTTGCCAAGTCTTACAATTTAGCACACCAATGGCCTCATGATATATCATAAAACAATATTATGTTGATAAATTAAATAGCTTCCTTTCAGAGCATTGTAAAAAGAAATACATTTAAAAAGTGCTCAAATACAGACATCAAAGAAAATGAAAAATCAGAAGATGACAACCAGTATACGACATCGCTTTGGAATTAAAGAACTAAAACTGTATAGTTTGAGTGTACTTTTGAGTACTATGAGAAACTTGCTTTAAAATGAGAAAAGGAAAATAGTAAACTATCTTTTTTTCTTTTTAAATCAAGCTGAGTTCTAGCTATGTTCAAACAAATATTATTCCTTAAGAATTTTTTTCATTAGAAGTAAATCTGATCTGTGTGGAACATTTTACAAGTCTCAGTGAAAAGCAGAAATTCCTTACTCTGATAAGTTGTTACGCTTTACTTCAGGAATTCAAAGCAAAATATTTTAAGTCAGGTGACTCAGCACCCAACAACCAGTGATTCTTTTCTCAATTCCATAACTAAAATCAATCAATAGTATTGTGCATCTCTATTTTTGAGTAAAACTCATAAACCATTCAATTAAAAGTCATTGTAGCTCTGAATTAAAACATATTATGAGCATTAGTATAATACTGTTAAATTAGAGGTGAGAATCTTCTTACTACAAGCCATACCTTCAGCTGGATTTCAGTGGCAAAGCCTCAATGACTCCTAGTGCTCAGCTAGTGCTAATTCACATTGCTCCATTATCTCAGTGGAGCAACATTGACTCGAGCCTTCTGACATCCCAACCCTATGCTGCTGATATAAACATTTGAGTGACATTTGATCAACATTTCTTTACAAAACAATGTGAAAACCTACCTTAGAAGCTGAGTACATTGTGTATAAAGGACAAGGGAAAGTACCCAGACCAGAAGACAGATTCAGAATAAGACCTTTCTGTCTGAAATTTAATTTAAATATGGTTACATTCAATTATACTTGAGGACATTGCAGTAAAAACATGTGCAAGCTGAAAACATTTTTTCCCCCAGAAGACAGAGCTGTCTCATTATATAGTAGACTATATTCTCAAAAGACTTAATCTTTATGGTTTAGTTAAGTGCAATTAAGTCCAAAACGACTTGGAATTATGTCATAAGTGAAATTTAAATGTCAAGTGCCGCCAGAAGCATGGGAACATTGTGCACGCTATTGTACATCTAACAGAGCACGAACTGCCATCCAAGGAAAGATTTTATGCTCCTAAGTAATTGGTAGGTCTCCTTAGCTCATTAACCAGCACATTTTTTCCTGCCTCTTTTAACTGTTGCTTCAGTTTCCTTATTCACAACTTCCAATTCAAATTCATAAAAATACATTCATACATCAGAAAAATACGTCACAATACATTCAGCAATAACCATGAGAAAAATTAACTGTAAAAGCTTAATCTGTTACCCAGATAAAAAGCATATACTGTCCTCTAATGTGCATTACCAACGATGTTTTCGAGAAACTCCTTCTGAAGACTTTAACTTCTAGTTTAATAACTCCCATGTCAAAAATACACATTGTATTAAACAGAAAAGAAATCCATATTTACTCAGCTGAACTAATCTGTCTGAGGAAGTATAGGTATCTGTATTTGAGCAGTGTTACTCAGAGCACAGCTACCAAAAGGTATTATAATATTTTCACATGCAATTGCATGCTTAACTAGGCCCAGCACATACAACTTTATTTCTGCAACACATGTATGTTTTTCTTGGAAAGAGGTGACAGTATTTTATATTTTCTTTTGTTCTCCTGTTGATTGATATCTTGTGGAAGTTCCTGTCATTCATTCACACAGCACTAACATCAACAACAATAAATCTCTTCAACTGACATACCATAAAGTGGAGAAGTTAATCATGAAAAGGCACAGCTATCACTGGACAAACTGAAAGTAATGACTAAAATCTAGTGAAAGTTATAGGGCAGGAAAAAGATATATTTATATTTTATATTTATATAATATAGAATACATAATATATAAAATTTATTTATTTATTTATTTATATATACACACAGAGATATGGAGAAAGAGAAGGTTTTTTACCGTAGCTCCATTTGTTTCAAAACTATTTGTGTCATCTGTAAGACAAGTTAAGAGTTATACTAAATCTTCCCACTTCTGGCTGTAGCTTTTGATTCATGATTTTTTTAGAATATTTTTCATTTGCTAAAGCCCCAGCAATATGTGTGCAACTAAGGCAAATAAAATATGGCACCTTGAAACTTTGGGGAAAGAATTACAAATATTCATTGGCCTGCCAAGTAGCTGAAATGTCAAAAATTCCAAACATTCATCTGCTAAGCAGTGAAAATATTGTGTTTATCCAAAATCTTCTCAACACTATCTGAATTTTCTGCATCTTCAACATTTGATAGAAACCTAATGAGGAAGTAGATTTTATAGCCTTTTTGGGTTTTCACTCCTCACTCTACTTGAACAGTAGAGTTCTACATAGAGAACAGTAAAATCATGAAAAGACAACTTGTTTTTTTCTCCTAGCAAAATAGCATAAGCATTAAAATATATTTTAGCATCCATTTTAACAATGGGCTTAATCATATTTATATTTTTTAGAGCATAGGTAAATCCATTTTCAGTATGAAGTCTGCTGCTGGTTGTTTTACTTGAGAAGTACTGCTGACATTAAGCTTAAGCCCTTTGGCAATTTATACTCAGACAACTGATTTGTAAACATTCACAGTGCATAAATTTCTGCAATTGAAAAATTGTAAAGGGTAGTAATAAGAAGCAGTGCAAATGAATGATGCAGCTTAATTCAGCCCTTGTTAATTCCCTGTTTCTTGGGGTTGGTGGGTTATTTTTTGTTATTTTGGTTTGTTTGTTTTGCAGTATTGTTTTTACACGTGTCATTGTGCACAAGGGATGAGTAGGGGCAGGGCGGGGTTAGCAAGATTTTCAGAAGGATGCTTAAAAAAAGGAGATGGAAGTTGGTCATGACAGCTTGGATAGATTCCCTTTGGATAGAAGGAAAATAACAAAGTAGTGGAAAATGGTGAAGAAGGCCCTGCCTGTGCAAAAACGCTGAAATTCCCAATGACTTCAGTGAGAGTCGCAAATATCTGGAAGTCAGTCACCTGGACAGTGGGCAGGATCCTCCCCGGGATCCAGCCAGGAAGAGGAAGCCAGCAAAAGATTGCGGGATAACTTGGATCTAGCCCTTTGAAACGCTCTTAGGAATCTGACTTCACCTCTGTGCTTCAGAGGAAAGAGAGTATTGTGAGAGGCCAAAGATGCAGTGGTCACAACATGAGCACGTGAAACGAAGCCCTAGGTCACAGTGATTGGAAAGGGCTGATTTTGTGGCACGTGCAAAGTATGAAATGGCAAAGGGAGGGTCCTTTTGTATCCAGACTGGGCTGGCACTAAGTGTGTGTTGCAGGCCTGTTTGTGTGGGATATGTATGTTTAGTACTTAAGTATTGCAGATGTTTCTGATCTTTTGGTGTATAAATAGAACAAAACCTATGGGCAGACTGTTCCCCAAAAATCACTTTATAAAATAATGTGTTTTCATTGACAGATATTCCATGATTTATTATCTGAAATAAAGTGTCCTGTTCTTGCTCATGTTAACACGCTGCTTGCAAACAGTAGAGCAACACAAATCTCAACCAAAGGTGGAAAATGCAAAAGACGAACTGTTCTTTTAAGCAAGGAGGCAGCAAAATGAAACACAACTGGGATTCAAATCCTTAAGTTTCTGCCCCATATTGATGCAAGAACATTTTTGCGGGCAGAATTATGTCAGAAAGTGCTCTTCCTGTACCAAAAATGCCACCAAGTATCTTTTACAGATTATGGTTCTGTAACAGGATCTCCCCAATCATTTAGACGAGCAGGTTTTGGAAAGTGTTTCAGCTGCAGTGTAACACTGTGTCTGGCAAAAGCAATTCTGTTGAGCAGTTTCCACTCAGTATTTCCCAGGCAGCAGAACCAGTCCTACCAAGCTTGTCCCTAAAATGAAGCTGACTTACGTGTCATTAGGGACTGTCTGGAAATAAATAAATTTAAAATACATCTGAGTGCTAACTGGTCACTCCCACATGGAGCTGTGTTTTTTTGTTTGTTTGTTTTTTGGGTTGGTTTTTTTTCAATTGAAAAACATTATGAATTAGATAAATGTGTGGCACATACCTTTGTAACAGAAATAATGTTGCAGTTGATGAGACTCTGCAAGGAGCAAGAAAACAATAAGCACATAGTTAACACAAGAGTGGTATCTTATCCAGACAACATGGTAGAAATTCCAGCTAAAAACATGTATCTACAAAGCAGTTGCTCTTTCAGCTGCAAATTTTGCTTTGGAGTACCATTAACCGTGAGGTACATTTGAGGTACTCAAGGCAGCTTAGCCAACTGTGGAATACTTTTAATATATTTTTATTATTTTATGTTTTCTAGACATGCCGTCCAACCGCCTCAGGTTGATACTATTCCTTCGATCCTGTGTGCAGCGGAGCCCAGCCAGCCCTTAGCACATGGCAAAGCTGGAGGCTCCATGGCCCAAGAACAGAGAGCCGTGAGTGAGTCCGGGTGGATGCAGAGCAGCAGCCGTGGTGCACGAGGAGCAGCAGAGGCAGCAGCATTCCCTGCGGCAGCATTCCCTGCGGCAGCCGGGAATTCCCTGTGGCTGCCGCAGGGAATGCTGCTGCAGGGAATGCTGCTATGTTGAGCTCCATCCAGCGCAGTAGCCATCCAAAGGCTCTGTGTCCTACCAGGCTGTGGGGCAGCAATTTCGTGGGTCCTGTGGCACATACCAGCCAAAGAGAAAAATGGAGGGGCTCGGGAAATCTGCTTTCTCCACAATTAAGTTTGTATAGGTAAGCAATAATGAGGCAAAGAGAATTTTGATTATGTCCTTAATCCTATAAAACTCTTCCACATGTATAATCTGCTTCCCAAAATAGTAAATTTCATTCAAGCTGTTTTTTGTTTGGTTTGGGGGTTTTTTGTTTGTTTGTTTTTTGGGTTTTTTGTTGTTATTATTTGTTTGTTTGGGTGGGTGGGTGGTTTTTTTTTTTTCTCCTCCAGTTTTCACATGCTAAAGTAACGGTATTTCAAAGAAAAGAGGTTCTAATAACATTAATAAGAACCCAACACTTTGGTGTGGCGGTGAGCGGGCTGGACCTCGTTGCATCACCTGTGCTCAGTGAGCCAGAGAGGCTGCTGATCTCTGCTTTGCCCTGGCCGGGTGCACCCTCTGATCCATTCCTAAACATCCGCACCAATTTAGCTGAAATCTACTGCTCTGCTTCTCTCACAAGCTCTTCTGAGCATTAAAAAACGAATCAAAACAAACCATGCTCCTTCAGGCCCAGTTCTTCTCCCACTCAATTGCACAGTTAAGCATGTGCTGATTGCAGCAGGGACAAAATCTGTCCCTTGTTAAGCGTAATTGCACTTCTAATTGTTATAGTACGAGTAGGAAACCACAGAATAATCCTACCTCATCAACGTCTGGTCCATTAAGGAAACGGCACGGAAGAGGATTGTGAAGCATTCCAACATTGTTAACTAATGAAGGGAGACACAATGATAAGAACCACATCTAGACAAAGTACATAGCTCAGCTATTGAACAAGCAGGTTCTCCACAAGACTCATAAGTCTCTAAGCTGTGTGTGAGGAGAGCTGCCGTCTAGCATTCAGTCTCCTACTGAATTTATCTGCACTGACTTCAGAGAATGGAAAAACAGCCTGTTTCTGCTGCTTGGGCTTGCTTGCTTGGTTGTTTGGTTTTTGTTTGTTTGTTTGTTTCACTATTGAATGGATGATTTTCTTTACCACCACCAACAAAAAGTTTTCATTGTTCCTCTGTGGTTCATACAAATTAGGGCTAGCCTCGGGGCACATTTCAGACTGAATGCAAGAATTGCACACAGCTGTAAAACAGCCAGTAGTGAAAATCACCTCCCTGGGACTAAGCAGGGGAAGAAGTCACCCCACAGGCTGGATATTGCTTATAAAGTGGCCGAGGAGCTTTCACGGGAAAGAAGTCATAGCACAGGGCGGAGAAATGGGAAGCCCTTGGAGAATTATCATTCACTTTTAAAATTTGCCCATAATAACAAATGCTTAAAAGCAGTAGGCATGCTTGGTTTTAGCAGTGCATGCTAAAATAAAACAAGTTTTTATGGCATGCAGCATTTTATGCACTTCTCCATATATTACGCTGCAGACGTGAACCCCACTACAGCCGCCTGAGGCTTCTTTTAGTGACTCACCCAGAACACCGATTTCCAAACCTTCAAGACTTTCTTCAATATTCTCATATACTGAATCTTTAGTGAAATCAGCTTGTATAATCTTCACTTGTTGACCTGTGGCCTGCTCTGTAATCAAGAAAAAGAAGAAAAATCTTTGCATCTACAGGGGGAGAGAGAACTGCAACTGAATAATGAGGGAAATAAGCAGGTGTCCCATGTAATAATATGCACTGCAGAAGAAGTAACTGTTTCAACTTTCTGGCTTTGAGAAGGATTACGACACAAGTAAAACACCCTCATTGTAACAAGTTGCTTTCAAGGAAATTACCTGACTAATAAAGAAACAAATTATGCCCTGAAATAAACAGAAACTCCCTCAAAACCTGAACGTTTGGTACTCAAGTAAGGAAAAAAAAAACCCAAAAATCCAGAAATAAACAATACGGAACTTCTTCACCAGGTTATCATAATATTTACAAAAGAGTGCTGTCAGCATATGTTAGACAAGTGAATGTGTGTGCCAGATCTTCTGCATTAGCTCCGTTTTGCAGGATTGTTTCAAAGTGTTTTCCTGTACAGGGTGGCCATTTGAATAAGCAGAGCTTATCTTTCCGTGAAGGAGGAGGGGAAAACAGGCTTCATGAGGCAGGATCTTCTGCTTCCTTTCCAAACTACTCCTCTCATATTCTTACATTTGCACGCCTATAGACCGGGCCTTCCCTAGGATTCTGCAGGACCAGAAGGCATTTAAAGGAGGATATAACTTCCATTTTACAAGGTAATTTATGCAGAAGGGAAAGGGAAACGTATGATTTTTCCACTATCATTGCTATGCAGGAGCAGACCCCAGCTGAACATTACCATTTTTAACAGCAGGCAGTTTACTGCTGTCCATATTTCAATGAGTTTTCTTGAGAAAAAAAAGTGGAAGACACTCTAATGTATTCCCTTTTAAAGGTGAGGATCTCCTTTAAAGGGGCACAGTGAGGTCTCCGCTAACTAGAGGATGACGTTGTAAATTCTGGCTACCAAACCGGCTTTCAACTTTTATGGGCAACCTGAAACACAGATGAATTTTGCTAAAAAAGTGACAAAGGGAAGCTTGGGCACATCAGTGGATGATCTGGATGCAAACAGGCTGGAAGCTGCAGGAGTTCAGGCACACAGGGGTGGCAGAAAGTCTGCTGGGAGCCCCGCTTGGGAAACTCCCTGTGTTTGTTCAGAGCTTGATTTTGTGTCTAATTTCATGCAGGCAGGAGGGCGCATTGCCCCACATGGGGTTCAGATGCAATGACTTCCATGCAGAGATCTTGCCTCACATCTCCTGGAGCACACTGAGGTTTAGGAAAATACCAGTTACTCCTTGTGGTGACTCCTGCATGACAGTAAGGCTGACGTGAAGCCAGCTGCATTTTGGGGTCCAGTTTGCACCAAAGCAGGGCCCATGCTGGAGGGAAAGCGGCCGATCTTGGAGCTGTTCCCTCCTCGCCACACAAATGCACCACGGTCTCCTCTGCCTCTCACCAGTCGGGCAACACAAGCAGCCTGAGGAACGGCAGACTCTCTGGCTCCAGGTCTGAAGAGCGGGTTGCATCTTATGTGCAATTTTAGAAGGCATTCGTCTCCATGACAGGGGTGAGGGGGAAGGAGTGCCCTTTTCCCTGCCTCTTTCCAGGCTGTGTTTCTGTGTATGAAAGGGACGAACCTTCAATCTATAAAACCTTTGAACCTTCAACCTATAAAAGCAACTCTAGTGGCAAATGACCCCCTAGTGGTCCCAGGCTGCAGGAATGGTATCACTACAAAGAATAAGGACATTGTGAGTATAAATGCAGGGAAGGAAAAGAACAGAGCAACAGCTGGAGCAGGCGCCTATATGACCTTTGGATTCAAAGAGCTCCATAAACAAAATGAGATGGTCTTTAAAAAGGCAGTAATGTTGTGGCCATCTTTTCTGCGGGCAATCAGAAGGGCAGCCAAAACTACAGTAACATAAAAATTAGGATCAAACAAACCCTTTGGCCTTCCTCTGTGTCCCCTTGCCTGCACAGAGCGGTACCGCTGCAACCGGCGCTGCGAGCCAACAAACAAGGACTCCAGATGGCTTTGCTCTGTCTCATTTAAGAATGAAACAATATATTAAAAAACAATAAAACTATCATGCTGATAAATGAATTATCCAGGGATAGCTCTTTAGAAAATTATAATAATTCCATAAAGGAGAGCGCCAAAAAAACCCTTTCCAATGTTTCTCTCTCTCTGACAGAGATTTATGACAGCCTTTGAAGGCATAAGCCATTCAACGTTTTTAAAAAGTCCTAAGTGTGCCAGAAGCAATGAGCCTAGGTTTTCAAACATGAGCGCAGGTTATACACTTCTTTTTAATGAAGGGAAGGTTAATATAATGAAAATTTAAAACTTGAATTGAGGTGTTTAATCTGATGTATTATAAAATGCATCATTAAGAAGGATACATCTAACTCCTTTTGACCTCAGACCATTTGGGAATCCTGCTTGTCAGATAGGATAATATGCTGCCTTTTGAAATTTACCAAGAAGAGAATAAATCAGGCTGAAGCACAAAGTTGGTTGGAGCACACACTCTGCCAGAAACTCTTCCTTTAGGCTTAGAGAGTTACAAAGGTCACCCAAAAACTTGAGGTAGCAAAATAACGAAGGCCTGAGTGGCTCAAGAACTGCTCTGTGGGGGAGTAAGAGAAATTTCTGAAGAACTGTAGTAGAATTTGAATATGAAGAGAAGAGCACTCAGACTAAGATGGTATCCATATTCAGATGAAATGTGCAGAGAGTAGGGCAAAATAAGCATCTAGGTAAGCCATTTTACCTAAAAAAATGTTAAAAACAAGATTTAAGACTGGGAATACATGTAAAAAAATTATAAAGCACAAATTCTGGCTCTAGTTTTTTGAAAAGTATATTTCCTCAGAAATACAGAGTAAAACCTCTTCAGAAATAATAGGAAAACGGAAGGAACCTAAAGAAATAAAAACATAGAACAGAAGAGGATGATAGAAAATACTCAGAAAAAATCAATGAAGAGACAAAAAAAAAAGAAAAAAAAAGAATAAAAGAAGAGGAAATCCTGTTAACAACTAGAGTACTCAGAAACATTGGTCAAGGCCCTAAATCTCTGGTCTTGTGTGAGAACTTGTGTGTCTCACAGAAGTGGCATTTTTCTCATCTGTTTGTTGTAATAATACGACACCTGAAAACTACAGACCTTGGTTGCATCAACACATCCTTGCTTGCAACTTTTCAGTCAGGACCAACCTGCTCCATGCAGCTTGCTCCCATTTTCATGGATTGATCAATAATACATACAGCTACAAACGATAATACAAGCTGTGAGAAGCATAGCAGAATGTGTCTGTCTGCTTGCTGCAGGACTGTCTTTGCTACCTTTCATCTCTCAAATGGTTTTGAAAACCATTCCTGTCAGAATGGGAGGAAATCTTGCTTTCAATTCCAATGCTCTTTTGGAAAAATGCTTTGCTTCTTGTGGATTTCTGTCCATTCCAAATTCCAGTTCTGAGAGATGTTCTCTGGATCACCTATGATTCACTGAACTCTTTGAAGACCAAACTCTGAGATCTCTGGACTTATCCACAGTTAAATATTCTTTCTTTTATATTTTTCTATATCGAAACTGGTAGCAGATTAATTAGGCAAAAAATATTGTCTGGTTGGAGAGAGAGGCAACTCAATTAATTAATGATGTCCAGCCCATTAGGGGGTAAAAAAAAAAAAAAAAAAAAAAAAAGTGTAGAAATCAAGGAAGAGGAAAAAATGAATAACTGCCCAGTCCCACAATTTACTTATGTTGCCTAAAGCAAATATTTTTGGCTAGACCTCTCTATGCCTTAATCTCCTTGCATGCTAGTTAGGGACAGTGATAACTGCTCAGACTGTGGCGCTGCTTGCTTAAGCAGTTTAAAGAGAAAAAAAAAAATAAACCAGAAAATAAAAAACACCATAAAAGTGATCTAGTAAAATTTTTGCTTCAGCTTTGGTTTCCATTTTTTATTTGCTCACATAACATCAGAGTAAGTTTAACCTTTCTCTCTTCTCTGGTGCTTAGCTTCTTTCTGCTTTTCTGATGACTGCTTAGCTTAACTACGACAACATTAGCAAGCTGAAATCAGGAGGACGTGCCCAAAGCTTTAACATAAGCACACATTTAAAAGCCTGACCCAGAGCTCCCTGCTGATTTAATGGCCTCCAGATTATACACTCTGTGCTTTTCTTCACTCCGTCTTCCCCTCCTTCCTTTTGTTTGTACCATCTACTTGTTATGTACTCACTTCTAACCTGACACAATAAATAACATGAGGCCCTCCGGGCTTCAGCCAAAACCCATGGAAAATAAGAGCTCGTTGGGATTTGCCCCATCTTGGGCAGACTTTGGGGGAAACCCTTGGTGCCCACAGCCCACCTGAACAGAGTGCAGATGTCTAATGAGCACCAGAGATTACCAGAACAACACTGCTAAAATCAGCAGGGCTTCCTCACATGCAGCCACTCGCTTGCAGGGCACGCAGGAGTGTCTGCACGACAGGCCATTTCAGCAATACCTTTCAGGACTTGGTCAGGCTCCTGCTATGTGTTTTTACAGGGCTCAGTACAGGAGGGCCTCAATTACGAAGGCGGCCAGTGGATGGCCTTAAATAAATCACAGTACGGAGGAATTTACAGTATGTTATCTTTCCAGTCCTCCACCACTTCTTCTCTTTACTTAGTTATGTCAGTCTCATGAATCTTCTTGTTTTCATTCTTTGGTTCTGATTATAATTTACAACACAAAGAAACCATAAAAACTCCTTAGCCTTTTTAGAGGATTCTGTTATTTTAATTCTTTAATATTTAGCTGCAAAGAAATGCAACAATGACAGTGTGGCTGGCCTAATTCCCAGGGAAGTTACTTTTTCTGACTGTTTATTTAAGAGCAGCTAAGGGAGGCTATAGCCACACTGGCCTAATGGATATGGCCACTATGTTCAGAAATGGATATGTTCAGACTGCTCACAGAGAGCTTCTGCTCTCCCTGACTGAAACCACTTGCTTTTCAAGGGAAAACAGGTATAACGTTAGCTCTGAGAGAGGGAAATGGGCTGGAAATTTAGGATATTAGGACTTGATTTCAACAGCTTCAGTTTCAGAAATTACAGATTGCCTTGCTTTCCTGAAGTCTATCCTATCTCTGAGCCTATCCTATCTCTGCTCTCTCTGTGGATAGGTATCCTCACACTCTGTTAGAGTGAGCTGTCCAGCTCCCCATTTAAAGCAAGGTCTTTCTGGCAGAGGTATCATCTTGAAGGGACAGACACTTAACAGGGGAATATGTAATCAAACACCGTGTGGATAGACAGGGAGACAGTGGGAAGGATAACCTTGACTAGGGCAGTCTTTAAAGTCAGGGGCGGATATGAACTCCTTTTACTCTTATAGGGATCCCAACCTTGTATCTCCCTGGGTTTAAACAAGCCATTCCTTAAACCAATTTCCTTTGAAGATAAAAGAAGGAACATTAACTCCAAATTTTAACTCCATGTTATTTAACTGCTTTACCCCAAACTAAATATAACTTGTAAACCTTATAGAGAAAAAGCTAGCAAGTATTCATTTAATCCTACCTTTTTGTGTTTCATTTACGTTTATTTTCTTAGGTGAGTTACTTTTTTCAGATTATAAGAACTAGCCTAAAGATATTGTTTCTTTTGCAGTCATAAATTGATTATAGCAGCTTCTCTAGGCAAGGTTACTGACTGAATTTACAGTTTTTCAAGTCAGGTGAAGACAGTCAGGAACCTGCACCTTTTCTTGCATGTAGCCAATTCCACTGTTTGAAGTGCAGCATGTGTGTTCAAAGCTGTCTCTGAGTCATTTGGAGAGGCTCAAGCAAGGGAGTATTGCAAAAAACAGCTTGGGCACTGCAGTCGTACCTGGGGCTTCAGCTGTGTCTGGGGCCGCACTGTACTCTGTGCAGTGCCGGCCTACCCAGGAAATGGGCTCAGATCCCTGGGGATTTTGCCGGTTTGCTGGACCTGTGGGTAAGTTTGAGGCAAGCACTTACCTATTTCAGCGGCTGCTCTCTGAAGTTTTTCAAGAGTTCTGCTTATCATAACTATGTTTAGGCCACGTTTTGCCAGCTACAACAGAGAAACAAAAAAGTTGTTAGAGAAAAACAGGTGACAAGATATGTATTTTCCCAGTTTTGTGATAAAAGCTAATACAGATTTTTTGTAATTGCTTTCATTCACCCATACCTGCCTAACGAGCAAACAAGAAATGTGAAAACCATGTCAAATATTAAAGAGTTCTTACAGTCTGTCTAAACATCTCCTTCTTCATACAGTCTTGGGCTTTTGCAAGAGAAAATATACTGGACTCTTGTCCAAACAGTCCAAAACCCCTAAAATACGGCCCTAAATAAACCATCTTTTCAAATGATGCACTGCTTAAGCAAATGAATGTCTACAGGCAGTGAAGACAATCTGACATTTCCCCAGAAAAAAGATTTTTACTTGGAAAGGGAAAGGCAAATACATTGATGACTTCTTGGTCATTTCACAGGACTGCTCTCCACCCTCATCTTTTTTTTTCCTTTCTTTCTCTTTCTCCAAGAAGTGGATTAAATACATTGAAGTCTTGAAAGTGTTTGAAAGGAATTGGATTTAATCATGAGTTTTATAGAAAAAAGTCTCATGCAGATCAGATAGCTAATTTATAAAGGTTTGTTTTATGATGGAAAGAAAAAAAAAGGGGGATGAGGGGAATGAAAAAGGTGAAGTCTGTGCATGAAAATTCAAAATACACTCACACAAAGATATATCCACAAAGATGTTGGCAAGAATTGCAGTTTACAGCTGTGGACACTATTTAACACAACAGTCCATTTATAGTCACTTTCGTATTACCATGTGCAGAACAAATGCAGGACAAACAGAGAAGGATATTCCCCTTTTTCCTTCAGCCTTCCATTCCCCTCAGCTTGAGTTTAAGGCAAGCCTTGACAGAGAAACAGGCCCCCAGCTTGTGAAACTAGGTTACTAACAAGCTGCAGCCAAACTGAGTTCTGCAAACAAAGGAAAAAAAAAATAGGAGCTAAAACTAGAAAAATGCCCATGGGAGCAAAGGGAAAGAGAGTTAAATTAGTCTGCACAAAAGATAAAGCCAACTTCATCCGAAAGTAACAGGTTTGCTTAGAACAAGAAAGGAGCTGGTGAAGGCCACACACTGGACACCCATTCACGGCTGCCGCTGACTCCCTGCAATGCTTTCTCCTTCAGCCTATTTGAGGGAAACAGTTTGTCCCATTGAGCTCTTCTGAAACAATGCAAAGAATGTTAAGAAATAAGGACCTTTGTTTAAAAAATCGCTACATTGAGAGTATGAGGGGTGGACTGTCTATTAAATGTACCAGCCACGTCCATTTGCATTTTCGGCACAAAGACCGTGCTCACAATTCCCCGCTTTTGGAGACCCTCCTACATAATTGCCCGGTGCTCCAAAGAGACATGCAAACACTTGAACTCTCTGGAGTTTTGAAAGCTCATTTTAAGGGCTGCATTTGAAGTACTCAGGAAGAGAACTCAGGAAGAGAATTGTCCACATACTGGCAAATTTCCCTTTGTCCACAATGAGATTGACTCAAGCTGTTTCCAATCCATTTGGAAAGCAATGGAGATGTGGTCTCTGTTTCCATGGTCACTTATTCCTATTCGTAACTTAGGGATGTTCAGATGGGGATTATTTTAATTTTTTAGCATGCAGACCCAAGACCAATTATCAGTTGTATCAAATAAATAAGTTAAAATAAGGCAATAGTCTGTTTTTTTTTCTGGGATCCTTACTATCATCTCAACTAATAGTTATTTTTGTGTCATTTGGTGGCAAACTCCCCTTCTAAAAAACTATGTGAAATTTTCTTCTTCCAAGACCTAAGAGTTGTCTCATAGCTAACGCGAGATGCTTTTGGCAATTTGTAAAAACTGTTAATTGTCCAGTGAGAGAGGTAGACTTCCCATTGCTCCCATTTACCAAATTAACCAGAACTACTTGTTGCTATGATAACAGATGGTTGTAGCAGCCATTTCTTATGGCAAAAGAAGCTGAACTTGACTACTCTTTTGCTTGCTCACTCACATAGAAAGCACGCATATTTTTCACAAGTCATTTTAACAACTTTTAGTGTAACTTTTAGTGTAGATGTCCTTAGCACAAGGAGTTTTGCTACCACATGAAAGCTTTGACGTTGCAGAATGGAATTTCCCATTGCAGATAAGAGCACTGGCTCCCAGCGCTCTGCAGGGGGAACTCACATGTGTTAGGAAATCCTGACGCCCCGTGGCAAAGGATTAAAATGCTTCTGAGACTACTGCAATGTAAGGTTATTACTGCCTCCAGTTATAACAAACAATAACAACACAGCATTTAGAAACTGGATTTAAAAAAAAAAAAAAAAAAGGCAAGCAGGATCTTGCAAAGTAGCTCTTTAAAAACTTATATCAACATTAAACTAATGAAAAAAAAATCACCATGCATTTCACAATGCATTTTTCAAGCTCAGTCTTAGATAAATATTCAAGCAATCGAGTTATATGCAAGGCACATATTTTTGTGTTTTTTCGAACCATGTACATAACTACTGCAATTCCACTGCAGTAATTGTGAATAGTCTACACAGACCTTTCAATTTAATAACACAGAAGCACTAATAATATTTTATGGAAGCCGTATTTCTTACATTTCTACCTATTGTATGTGAAATTTTTCTCTCTTCAAAACTGCACTGATAGTGAAATAGCACGTCTTGATGCTTCTTTAACTTTCTTTCCTCAGGCTTCAGACTGGAGGGTCTTTGTAATTCTTAAATATTTCTGGCCAAGCAGACTAGGACCTAGACCACAAAATAGACAGATCCTGCAATTCTGTGGTAACTTCTACCTGACAAAACAGTGCTAGGATAGCAATATCTACAGGAATAAATCCAGGATCAGGTGGATAAATTATAATATGGATGTAACTGGAGAAGGATAACCCAAATCACATTTAGCTTGCATTACACTGCAGCTAATAGTGTCAAAAATTCGAGGAAAAGAGACAATATTTAAGGTGTGGGACCTGCTTGTGTCTCAACATCTATTGAGATAAACAGGTGATAAACTATAAATCTCAGAGTATGGCATGACCTCTTCCATAAGCCCACTAAGCTTAAGGTGCTAAGCCACTGATGGTCCTTAGAGCTGATCTGTGGTTATCACCTCAGGAAAAAACAGATCTGTTGAGAGTACTGTGAAACATCAAGAGTTTTAACATCTCTAAGAGCTCTGAGATGTGACAGACCAGCAGCACACTCACAGGTGACATATTTTTGTGTCTTGTTAGCAGTCTGGTGACTCCATCAGTACAAAAACTAATGGAGCAAATCTAACAAACCTGTCTTTTGTAACTCGTATAGCAAATTAGAGCCAACGTCCCACTACTCCGAGATCACTGCTGACCTTTAAAATCAGCCTGCTGTGCTAGAAACACTGCCTCTGTCTTCATGGAGGCCTGGACTTGCACACAAAAGAAAATAAGCTCAAGGTGACTGCGAGCCTCCTTGTCAGCAAAAGCTCAGGAAGCTACAGAGACAGTAATTTGCTCTGAAAAAATCTGTGTCCTCAAGGCGACAAAGCAGTGTGCATGTGTTTTCCAGAACATCTCGCAGCTATGTGTGCGACTCATCATGGAAGCTCAGCTAGCTATGGAGCTTGATAAGCTTTGCAGAAACCCATACTAGCTATAAACCTTGGAAAGAAGGTTACTGAAACAGTAAATAATTGTAATGTTCTTTGCTGGACCGCTGCCTGCTCTGTACCCAAAGAGCTACCTACTGGGATTTCCCCATAAAACGCTGAGCAAAGCAAGCCACAATTCTTGGCTTTTGGAAAGCAAATTCCCATATACTACCAGCAAGAATGGAGTCTGCAAATTATCAGCCCTCTTCTGAGCTCAGGCTGACACAGAAATCCATCTCTTGGTGCCAAAGCACAGACTCCAGAGGAACTGGAATTACCTGTGTCCTTGCGGCCCAGAAAGAAGATGTGCACCACAGGGTCTGCCCCTGCTCCAGAGGGGCATTTGAACCCTGACACCAGAGCAGTAAGACAGCAGAGCGGGGCCAGAAACTCCAAAGGCACCGGGACATTACAACAGCAGGGTCAGATCTATTTATCCATGAACCAACACAAGTGTGTGCTGTGACCTGCGCCAAGAGGACGGAGGTGCCAAGCGGCAAGCTCATGCAGCGTGGGCTGGGGATCTGCACCGCAGCGCACCGGCTGAGCAACATTTAAGCCAAAGCCACCACCTGGGGAGGAAGGTGTCTCAGCACAAAAACTTGCCACTTCCAGTCAAGTTTTTCAAGAAACCACACTTCCTTTTTTATTATTCTTCTTTTTCATAGTGTAAAGCAGCCTTTCTGGCTTTTAATGGGACTCACTTTTGTGTCACCCAAATGTCAAGGTGGCAGAACAATGACAGAGATTGTGGTCCAGACACTCACAGGAACCTGCAAAATTGTCAAAAAACTGGATGAATTATAACCAGGTGCTCACTTAAAAAGTTAGTTCAGCAACCTGCATGTGCAGGTGGCTATACTCGAAGGCGTAGTTTTAAAGATACCATTAAGCTGAATCCTCTCCTCACCCATCCCATCCTTCCCTAACCCATTCATTCCCCAAATCCTTTCCATTTGCTAATGACTGGAGCAGTTCAGTGAGAAAATAGAAGGCAACTTTTTCCCTTTTCTCCTATATAAGAGCTTGTGATCTTTGTCATAACTATGATGAATGTTAAATTATAATATTTGGCATTTGTTGTTGTGCTTCCTACATTTAACACACTTCCAACAGCGTGTATTCCAAAAGCTACTCCCAGGAATCTAAATCCTGAGGTAGGTGCTTAAAGTAATTAATGCATGTGCTTTAAAAGATTTGGTTTCAAATTCGTGTCAATTAACTCAAAAGTAAACTCATTTTCATTTCTTCTGGGATGCATTTTATATATCATTTATTAGCAGAAAGGATAGCATCTAATGCAAATGCCCACAATTAGAGGCTGCTAATTTTCACCTAGTCATCTCAGCACTGAAGGCAGTAGCTTGTGTTTCATTGATGTGCAGCTTCTAGAAAGACAGACACTTCTGAATGAAGGCGAAATGAAGGCGAAGGTAAAAGAAGAGAATATCTAGTGGGAGCAGTAGCTCTCTTGCACTGGTAGCAAGGTCGCTGGGAGAGGCCCCTCTCCCGGGTCTTGACGGGTTGTAGGAAGGGGCAGCGCTAGTGGGTCCCACGGCAGCCCTCAGCTTCACCCTTCCTCCCTTCGCTCTCTTACCACCCTTAAGGCTACTGATCCTTCTTTTACATTTTTAGCCTTTATTATAATTTTTATAACTTAAAGTTGTTTTTCATTTATGGATTTCCCTTTTGTTTGTGCTTGCAGATGCACCTATCAAGCTTTTTCTTCGAGATCATTTGGGCTACAGAGAGCTACATTTTATAAGTTTACTGCTAGACAGGACTATAGAAAGACATGCAGCAGAGCAGTGGCAAAACTAGGTAAAAGAGCCAGTTTAGGAGACTTCCTGCTCTGGACGCACAACACAAAATCTTTTGGAGTTCTCAGTGTTTCCATTTGATCTTCTTGGTCTTAACACAAGTGTTGGGGCATGAATGATTTTCCTCTGAGAAGTACCCACTTTTCCTTTCAGAATTTGATTACTGTAACTCTACGAAGGCAGAGGAGAAGGGTTGGTACCATGTATTTCATACCTGCTCTTAATGCTAGAATAACCTTACTAATTTTTAGAGGTAGGTTGCTGGGTGTGTGTGTTGAAATTGCCTTTTAATTAAAATAAAAACCATAGGGTAAGTAATCTTCAAAACAATATACTCACCTCAAAGCAATATGCTTTTCCAAGGCCATCTCCTGCTCCTGTGACCACTAGAGAAAGTAAACAGAAAAAAAAAATAGAGGGATTACATTTCTTGCTCTGCTTTAGTTTTGCTCTTTCTTGGATTCTTTAGTCTTCATCTTCTGAGTTTCTTGACCATTACTAGCAAAATGGTACTCCTAAAGCACAGAATCAACTTATTATTATATTTTATTTCCTTTTGCTAACAGTTTTTATCATGTAAGTTAGCATTTTTCCTCTTCTAAGCATTTTACTAATATTAGCAAATCGCTCTCCAGCTAGCACAATAGGTGATTTTTATTCTCATTTTCAATATTGCAAAACACAGCAACAAATAAATTGTCCACAGTATGGTAGAAATTTCTTCTGTATGCATAATTTTACAAGCTTTGCTTTGCAAGCTTTTTGCTAGAATGGTGGGACATAAGGACTAATTGGTCCCTGAATAGTCTTTCCTTCTGATGAATCTCCCTCACAAGAAATCTGTCTGCAAGAAAACTGCACAGCAAATTTACCACCACCTATGAAATGCTCTTCTTCCAGGGTTTTCCTGCTCATAGTCTACTTCAGGATTTAGTATCTGGGAAAGGAACCAAGTATTGGCATATGTAAAGATCTTGAACTTTAGAAGTTATGCAAACAAATACCAAAGAGGAAATACAGAAAGAAAGCATTGTTTATCACTATAAGGAAGAAATACAATAGGAAAACACAAAGGCAGTTCCAAGGTAAATCAAGGCAAATTTCAGAGCAAACTGGTTTGCTAATCATTATCTGAAAAAAAACTTCTGTACTTTTTTATGTGCCTGAAAAACAAGCAAAAACAGAGCAAATGTCTGTTGGGAAACGAACATCTACCTGCCAGCTTCAATTACACTTTGGTTCTCCACTTCTCATGTCCCATATGAAGCTGCAAATCATTCAGATCTGTGAAATTAATGTATCCAGAATACTGTCAGTTTTTAAAAGGACAGAGCATAAGAGGTGAGTCCACTGGAGTGGTGGGTCCCATAGTCTCTAAATCTTCAGTGGAAACAAGATTTTTGAACAGAAACTTCCACTAAGTAGCTCACTATTTATGTACAGATCTGAGGATTGTTCCTCACTTAAATTAAAATAGTGCTTACATGTTATTTCAAAAGTATTTGACCTTTAGGCATCTCTTCTGCAAAAGAGTGAATTTTGCTCTTCATTATTCCACTGTGAAATGTGTTTAATCAATGCTTATTAAATCCAGTGAGTTCGATGCTCTAAGGTGGGGGCAAGAAGAAAGCACAAGAGCACTGACAGAAGTCTCTTGTTACCAAGATGCCACCACTGATTGTGGCAGAAAATTCAGTAACTCTTCATACCTATTTCATTTCAATAATCTAACAAACCTACAAAAAATACAAAAACCAGTCAATAGAAGGTGTTCATTAAACACTTCTGTGATCTTCATGAGAACTTGTAATACCCTTAAAATAGAACTCCCAGTGTTTGAAGTTTCTAGGCAAAAGTAGATTTTCCTCATTAATGACACAATTAAGGACAGGATACCATTTCAGGGAAAACAAACTGGAGCAAAGTCACCAGGAATGAAGAAAATTTGCTTTGCAGAAAGGAGGCCATATGTTAAACATAAACTAGTTGCTTCACATATCAGTAAAATGAGGATGTAGGCAATGTTATTAAAACTAAAGCATTTCCAGTAGTGAGAGAGAGAGGAAAAAAATAAAACATAAGTAGGAAGGGGGAAGGAATTCACTTCTGTTCATCAGGTGTGTTAGCTTTTATCAGTTCAGTTATTTTCTTACTCTCAGTGTGAAAAATCTTCTGGTTTTTAATTCAAAGTTACTAGGAGAGATTAAAAAAAAAAAAAAAAGAAGGAAAAAAAGAAAAAGCAGCAATCCATGCTTACTGGAGGGTTTGTTTTGTTCTGGAGTGACAAGATAAGGAAATGTAAGGAAAACCCAATTAGTAATGATTAGTAACATAACAGGTTCCAGTTAGTAACGTAACAGTTCACCACTCAGTTACAGAAGAAAAACGTGAGGAAATTTCCTTTACCTGCCCATTCTCCCTGCGACCGAAAGAACGCCTGAGGCAAAGCATTCCAAGTATGTGGGAAAATATATTTCAGAAATAGGATGCATTTTACCAGAATATGGAAACAGATCAGAGCCCCCAAAACAGTGAATAGCTGATGCTGAAACTCCTCCATGGCAAAGGCAAAGGCAGGGAGCTGGGATGAAACTGTCCCTATCTCCTATCTCAGAAATGCCTCAGTGCACTGCTAGTCTCTGAGCCCTGGCCTAGATGTGAGGCGTCTAATAAATCACGTGATTTTTTTTTTTTCCAAGGCGTGTCCGGAGTTTAGATTAGGATACAATCCATATGAAACACCCAAATTCGTAAACTACTGAAAAATCCAAATTATACAATGATCTCTGGTGCTTGCTTTAGAGGCTAGATTTTGCTCCATTTCTGGAAAGTATCCAGGAACAAAAAGAAGAAAAAAATGTTATTGTCATTGCTTAAGATTTGAAGAGACTAAAGACAGGTCTAAACCAAAACCCTGGATAAGAACATTCCAAGCCTTGGAGTTAATGCACATCAGCATTATGTCTTGCACTGCTGCTCCCTAGTCCAGATACTTCCTCCACTGAATTTGAGTTAAGGCCAAAGAAAAGAGTTTATCTTCAAATTTCAAGGGTAATAATAATATCTAATTCTTTCTATAGAGAAAGCAATATCATATCACTTTTCAAAGAACTTTTGGAAAAGAGATTAATACCCTTATGTCTATGTCTTATGTCTTTGTTTTACAAAGGGGGAAATTATGGCATAGAGGAGTATTAATGCATTAAGGAGGATTAGGACTTTCAACTGTTTAAAAAAAAAAATCTCTTTGAACTGTTATTAAAGTTGAAAAAATCACCAACATGCTTACTGCAAGAAAAATTAATTTGAAATAAACGGTTCTCAGAAAAAAATGCATTTAAAAAAAAGAAGTTAGCATTTAAAAATTCTCAAGCACAGAAACAAACTTTTCTTTGTAGTTATCTGAGAGATTTTTCATTCTTCAAAGAGCAGTTAAAACTGGAGCAGAAGAATACTTACGATGATGATACAGAAGATGCTTATATAAGCACTCAACATAAAGCAAAATAAAAGTAGTGTGTATAGTGAATGTGTTTTAAGGATATTCTTCTGTCTTTAACACGAGGCAATCTGAACTTCTGACATCCAGTTACCTTCAAATGCAGGGAAGCAGCACGTGCCACATGTCACCTTCTGTCAGCCAGAGAACCACAACAGGATGCACTGCAGAGAACTGATTCAGTTCTGGAGACTGGTTCAGAAGAAAGGCAGCACTAAGTCCGTCTGTAGCAAGATATGAGGATCATTACTATTTAGCCTAACAAGAACTCAATTTTCTTGCCACATAACATTTCAGCATATTTTTATATGCAACAAATTTCTATACCCTAGGAACTCTTGTTTTACTCTGTAAGTAACATCATTCAGAACATTAAAAAGCCTGAATATTAAATTCGTCGAGGTATTTACAAACAAATCACAGAGGCAGTAGACAGTCATTCATTATTCAAGGAATATTTTAAATTTGCATGAGACACTTCTTTTTTTTACGTGCAACAGTGATGCTGAATATCTCCTTCAATTAGAGGGGAAAACAAAGCAAAAGTTTCACTATGGAGCCACAACCCAAACTTCTCTAATTTATCAGCATCCTCAGCTCCACTTTTAGGTCTGCTCATGCTCCCAAGCCACCCTGGCCATCTTCTTTCACAGGGACCTTGGTTTTCCAGTACTTCATAGAGCAGTACTTAATATTCTTCTTCCAATACTTCAGATATATCTTCCAATAATTCATATTCTTAAAATAGGCTGAGATACCAAGAGAAAAAAACAAAGCAAACAAACTAAAAAAAAAAAAAAAAAAAAAAAAAACCAATAACTAAATTCTTCTGAATGTGGTTACTTTTTGAGCCCAGTCCTAGTTTTCCCTGAGATATTGTTTCCCTTTAGAACCGTTTCAGGAATTGCACATGGCGTGGCCAGAGAACTGCTTGTGATAGCCCCTGTATTCTTCTTTATTCTTAATCCCCCTCCATTATTGTACGTCTGCTCCTGAGCAATCCTTGTAATATTAGTCTGTACAGGTTATCGCACAGATACATATTCCTTTCCAAGCCAGCTGCTGTTTTAACTGGAACCTGTTTACAGGTTTTTGTAAAGCTTCTTTTTATGTTCCCTTATATAAGGTACCTGTTGTTACCTGTAAGACTTCTGAAGTTTTAAAAATACTAAACTGACTTCAGAAAATCAAGTTCTATGGCTAGCAACATGTATCTACATGACTGTGAAAATTACGCAAGGGAAATTAATTTTCAGAAGTCAATCCAAGATTTTTAAAAGTAGGACACTTACTTATGCCTAAATATGCATTTTGAAAGCCAATGCTCTTTGCAAACACTTTTTTTTTCTTCACTTCCAAAAGGGAGGAAAATGAAGCTTCACACAGCAACTAAGTCATGCAGTTTTACCATTATATAGTATATGATGATGAAGCTAATGTGAAGTCTGTAGAAAACCAGCATCAAGTGTATACATATATATACATACACGTGTATATATATGTATATACATATATATACATACACACCCCTATTTACAGATATTTTCCAAGATGAATCAGTTTTAAATTTCTGCTTTATTTGCTGAAAGAAAATTACTCAACTAGAAGACCTGAATGAGGAGAACACTCCCATCATTGCTTAAATTCTTACACAAGAACTATGTCTAAATGACCCCACATAATCAGAATTTCAACTGGCTAATTCAGAAGAATTAGTATTTTCTCTGTAGATAAGGAGGAAGGATTGGAGTTGAGTTGCTCTTTGAAAGGATGAACAGAATTCTTCTCTCTTCCTTGGCCCATTTTGTTCTCTGAAAAGTTCTTTTAGTTAGTATGTATCTAAATTATCTTCTAAGCCATTCTGAGTAATATTACCAGAATAACTGTGAGAACGGAGCGTCTGCATTTTTGCTAAGAAATGTAAGTCAGAGGGACTTCAGAAACATGAAATTAACAATGAATTAAAGTAAATCTTTTCTGCTACAATACAGAAAAAAAATGTATTTTACGAATAGCGAATGAAAAATGAATTCCACTACAATACAGACAGAACCACTTAAACTACAGTAGAAAAGATGACTGTACACAATGCAGTTTATGCTACATATGTGCTTGAAAGCATTTTTCTTTGTGCATACCCACAGAAATAAAGAAATTAAGAGAAACATAGATTGCATCTATTTATTTACAAAAGGTACAGCAAAATAATAATTAATTAAATGGCAGCTATTCCTTTGCAGGAACTATATCTTTCTTATTTAGTAAGTGCCAGTAGATCATTCATTAGTACTGCAATCAAACTGGTAATCTTTTAGTAATTGACAAAAACTTTCCTATTGCCTTGTCCCAGCACTGAGTGTTGAGGCTCAGTATTTAAGATTTTGGAGGTAGAGGTGTCAGGGGGAAGGTCCTAGAAAAGAATTCACTCAAAAATACTGAAGACTTTAAATACAAAGAAAATATCTTAAAACCAAAGATATTTCAAAAATATTTATAGACCCTCACCCTCCCATCTCTCTTGTAATTAAGAACAAATGAAGAAAAAGAAGTCGCATCTCTTGTCAGGCTCTGGGAAATCCAGAGTTTTGCTTCCATTTCTAGGATCTTCCACTTCTAACAATCTGCAATCATTCCTTCTTTTGCCATTCACATCCATGGGCAGTCCAGCAGAAGCCAGTCCTTCCTTTTAGAGCACTGACTTCTAGTGGCAGAAAGCAGAAGCAACCCCAAAATCTTTTTTCCTTAAGGAATACAATTTACAAGAATAGTGAAGAAACATAATAGGTTTACAGTGACATGGTTACAGAAACAGGATATTGCTGTTACAGTGATGGATCCAAAAGCATCAAAATGAATGCACTTACATGAACTAATGTCAAATCTAAATAGAAACTGATGATCACTGGCCTAAATGCACATCACAAGCAAGCAAACAGGTTTGATGGTTTTGTTTCATATCATGTAGAGAGCAGCCCAGAGCTTGAACAAGACACCTGGTCTATGGAAGGACTCTTGAAATCCAAACCCAGACTGCAAACAGCTTCTGTTGTTCTACTTCTGGGCTAAAATAGCCACATTATCTCCCAAAGTCTAAGATTTCAGAATTAAGTTCCACAAGAGGAACTGTTTCTAAAAGCATGAGACATATGCAGTGTTTGAGCATCATGATGCAACTGTACCTATTTTTCCAGAGTTCTTATTGGTTTCTATGAGGGAACAGACTGAAGCACATACTGACTTCTGCGTCAGGTCTTCTTAATATGAAGATGTTCACCTCAGTAGATGTAGGCCTATAAAATTATTCCAGTATAGTTAAGCTGTGGAGAATCCCATTTAAAGAAGGTAGCTCCTAGCACTTTTGAAAAGACAATGGTTTCATTTTACAGGGTTTTATGAACTATGTAGGTTTTAGAGGTTTTAGAAACGAGATGGATAGAGGAAGGCATGAAATACCTAAGTAGGTCAGGAGCTTCTGTCCTTTCTCAGTAACAACTAAAGAAAGCAATGCTGTAAGAGTGCTACATAAGAGAAGGAACTCATTACTATATGAGATATTTTTTGCATATCCAACTGTACTGTGAAATCATTGCCACAGGTGGCCAAGAAACTAAGAACTTAAATCTGCTGAAAACTGGTTATTCCATCAAAGCCTTTGGTATGAGTTATTCACTCACACGAGTTAGTTAATCCAGTGTGGCCATTCATTCATTACCTAAAGAAAAATATTTTTTAAGGTTTTTCTGTATTTTAACCCAACTCAGACAGAACAAGTCATGACATGCACCCAGTTCCATATTAAAGTCTTTAAAAATCTTTGTTCTTTTAATTTCCTTAAAAAAAAAAAAAAAAGAGAAAAAAAAGAAAAGAGAAAAAAAGAACAACATGGTTCATACCCACCCGGAATAAAAAACTTCAGCAAGATCAGTTACCTCCCCCAGCAATGCAGTGTTTCTAAGGTGCTTTTAAAGACTAATGCTTTATCCCCGGCGATGCAGGTATGTATCAATCCGTTGTATTTGCAGTGAAACAAATAAAGCCTCATCACTATTGTCCCCCCATAAAATCTGGCCCACGAGATTCCTTTTATTTTTTTTATAACCACAAGATTAGCCTTGCCCTTTGCAGCAACCTGTTGGTCTTGTAATGGCTCCCTGTTTTGAATTTAGCACATAAAACCGTACCAGATCAGCTTTCACTGCACAAATAAGACACAACAGGACACTGGCTCTTTTTCCTCACAGCCAAACACAACAGTCAGTCCTCCACACAACAGTCAATTCCCCACCTGCAGTCTGTACATCATGGTATCCCTTCTGTGCAGTGTTAAAAAAATTATTATAAAAAAGGTCAAAGGAAGGGACTGATATCAAAAGGTGAATGTACCCGAATAGAAATAAATTCACCTTTGTTGTCTCTCCCAACTGCCCATATGGCTCATATAGAAAAAAAAAAAAAGGAAAAAGGCAAAAATGAACCAGAATGCCCTTCTCAATTTTCTTTCTTCCTTTGGTTCCACAATAAAATTATAAGGATCCACTTGTAAGAAAGTGATAACTGCGGCAGAAGATCATGGGGTAGTTTTAACCTCAGATTACTGAGGTTAAGGAAAGGACTGAGAGAATGACTATTGAATGCACACAAAACACCTAAGGCCATATACAGTGCTCTTCAGTCGAAACACGCACCAGGAACAATCTCAGATACAGCTCCTCTTGCACATATGCATTCTCCTGTCACTCACACATAGGCAAATGTCTATGTGAAATCATTCTGAGTCACTAGTCACTTTCATCTCTTCACTGATCAAAAAGACCACATATGATATAAGGCAATGACGAAACAAGCCTCATGATCTTTACAGAGTTCTGCCTCAGAGGCTACTGATAGGAACTGAAAAAGACTGTTTTGTTGAGTATAAATAGCTCCAAAGTCTAGCAGAAGAAAGAAATTCACATCTAAGAATTGCTCGTGGTACTGCTTCCTGTAAATTAGCTTGGGGTGTAAAAATAGCTAAAAATAAACTTCTCCAAAGGTTTCTTTTTTAAAAAACACAGTGTGCAAGAATATTTCTGAACTGATGAGATGTGTTCAGATCTATGGCAAATGAGGTAGACTTTTTTTTTTTTTACTTGCTTCAAATACGTTCCAGCACACACTTAAGTTCTCAGCAGCATTAAACAAACTTGTATCTTCTTCAAGGCAGGCATTTCTGCTAACTCTTTGACTCAGGATGTGCACTCTCTTCATCTCCAGGTTGCTTAGGCTTGCTGTTTCCTCGTAACGTTAAAAATGAGTATCTCAGTCCTCCTGCCATACTAGAGAAAAGAGAATTAACACAGGCATCAGATTTTATGAGTACTTAACTTTCCTTCCACAGGATCAAAGAATGCCATCCAGCTTAAATTAGAGCATTGTAGAGCTGTGTACATGTCAGCAATCTGAGAAACTAGCCCCGAGTACACAGCGATCAATAATCAGTTGCTCCAATGGATACATATGAGCAGAGTTAACAGTTCATTCAAACACTAAATAATAACAGCTCAGAAATAATAGCTCATATGGTAGAGCATAAATCATTGAGTCACTTCCCACACAATTTGGCTTTTCCTTGGAAGCCTTTGAGCTCAAAGTTAAACAGACATACTGCTAACAGAAAAAAAAAAAAAAAAGAAAAAAAAAAAAAAAGAGAGAGAGAAGGATGAGCTCACAACCTCTAATACTAAATCCACAGGCACAATTTCACAGTTAAGATCCTAACTGTGATAACACTCAATACATGTAAACAGACAAAAAAGTGTAACTAATTGTAATGAATTTTACATCCTGAGGCAGTACCTAGTGCTTCCGCAGGCCAAGAGTTTCAAAATTGCAACAGTCAAATGGGTCAAATTAAACAAAAGATAACAGAAATCTTCAGCTTTAACAAATAAAGACCAAGTTCAAGTTCCACTCACCAAATATTAAGCCCTATAAAGTTCAACACAGAGAATATGTAATCTCCACCAACCAACATTCCAATGTAAGCAATGGATATATTCTGCAGAGAGAGCAAAAATCAGGCAGTTAAAGTCAGTTTTCATCTCCAAGAATATATACGATACCAATTAATTCATTTTTCTAAGCCAATAGCTATACTCATTTGCTGATCTCCCTAAAGTTAGTGTTTGAATCAGTTTCATGGCATGTCAACTTTATGGGTAACACAACAGCAAAATAAAATCAGCATGTTTTCTACACACAAGTAATACAAGAACCAAAGAAGAAAATTAACTATCTGACTTTAGACAAAAACGGAACTAAGGCCACCTTCTGAAAATGCATTTCTTTTCAAGACAATTGGAAAACTCATTTCAAAACCCATTTCCTGAGAGCATGCTTTGGTTTCTCCAAGCATAAAAGAGTATGTTGTAAAGTTACAACAAAAGCTCTTTATTATCGCTTTAAAAGGGTTACCTCCATGTTTTGATGCCTAAAAGGGCAGTGAAAGCACTTGGCTCAACATCAGTGCTGGCAGTTTTCAGTCAGTTTTTTTTATTTAAAAAAAATCTCCCTGCCATCAAATTTCAAAAAATGAAAATTGCCCCCTATAGACAGACTGAAAGCTGTGGAACTGTGTGCTCATTTTACCAACACTTTGTTGACTTCATATGTTTTAGTAGCTAGCATGGTCAATGACATAATTTCTTTGGGGACTAGTGAGTCATGAAGTGCTTTTCAACTTCAAAGCAATCCAGAATTTCTCAAAAAGTAATTATTGTTAAGAAAATATATTAATAGCATTGCTCTCTTCTAATGGTTCAATGCAGACATACAAAATCTAAAAGAACACCTTCAAGGTTACAGAAGAAAGGTTACTACATCAGTCTTGCTAGCCTGCTAAAAGACAATTGTGAAAAGAGAACTGCTATCTTACTTTTGCAGGATTTGTCATATTTTCCTCTTGTCTCTGCAAGTGAGCACCCTGAGGACATTTAATCCTACATTTAATCTAGTTTGGGTGACACAACTGTCAGCATCCCCAGCAGCAAAAGATGGATGTTTCAGTAAAATGCTTCTAGCTTACAACTCCGTGCTTCTCCCCACACTGGCCTACAAAAATGTGCTTGTGCAGTCAGTGATTCTCTCAGCTTGGAAGCTCTGGTCTCTTCAGCAAAAAGTAAGTTACACTGCTCCTATTGCACACTGGATTACAGAAAACGGACTGTGAAGGCAACAGTTTCTATTTTGAATAGGAGCTTGTTTTAATTTTCACCAAATTTACCAGAGTTCATATAAACTAAAGTAAAATAATCCATTAGGTTACCATGGAAGTTCCCACACAGAGGGAGAAGCAAGTTATTCGTTATCTCCTACAGGTTAGCCATTATTTTGTAACTGATTAATACCCTCCTGATTAGCACCAATAAAAACAAGTTTAGACCCTAGTGAAAGACAGCTAATCTGCACCAATACGCAGATTGCTTAGGTTGACTCAGCAGACAGTAACTTGCTAGACAACAACAACAGATCACACTACATTAAAGATAAATGTATTTTAAGGTACAAGTCTTAACTAAACTTGCTCAAGAGTTTCTTGTAGGGAAAGGAAAAACACAAACAAACAAACAAATCATATTTATTTACAGAGTGCACCTGATTTTCAGTGAGAAGAAAAAGTCCTTTTGTAGAGTAAATCTCCATAAAGCAAAATGCAGCTTTATCAGGGCAGTGTCAGAGGATCAACTCTATTTTTGAGTTTTCAGCTCTAAACATAATCAGGATGTTTGCTGAAGCAATGCCTTTTCCTGTCAATTAACAGTGCAGAAAGAGAGAACACTGAATTTACCTTGATGGCACCAACCACTGTTGTTGTAAGTGCAGAATTGTAATGGCTGCATAGGACAGTAGAATACATCAGGAGAAACCTAAAGTAAAGCAACAAATTTTTGAAGTTCATTCTATAGGAAATAACAAGGTTAGCAAAACTCTGAAGTAATTAACATTTTTTTCAGGATCATATTTTATTAATATCTTCAACCCTACCTTTCCGAACCCTAGAAAAGATATTGTGGGCCTGCATTTCAAGTCAATATACAGGCTATTCAAAATATAGCACAAAAACCAAGTCTTTCTATATATTACTGGAGCTCTAGCAGAGAGTTATCACTGTTCTCTATTTTTTTTAATCAGTACTAGCAATATAAATATTCATATTTGAAGTGTTGGTTGATGATGTGTGAAAGGGAACAGAATAGGAACCAACTCACTTTTGTATTTTTCTTTTGGTACTGCAGTGCCAACAGGAACAATTTTTTTTTTTTCATTACTTATGTCCCTCATACTTTAACAAGGACTTTAAATATCAGATACATTGAAACAATTCCTACACTAACAAACTTACAGTCTTTAAACTGCAAAGGGAGTCTGACAAGGAATCAGACAGGCAGACAGGCGTATTCAGCACAGAAGGTGTAAAGCTAAATATCAGGTTGTTGACTACCGTACTTGTGATGACAACACACACTGGAACTGTAGTGCAACTGCATAGTTAATTCCTGACATTACTAGAAAGGATTAAAAGATAAGACAGTATCATAGGAGAGAAATACATTTCAGTTCCCACAGAACTTTCCAGTATATCTTACACTTGAGATTTAAAATACAATTATCAAGACTTCTTACTCGATCATTCCATGTCTTACCCCAAAAAACAGGAAAGAAGAAATTGGAAGATGAACAAAAAATTTGTCCACTGCTGGAAATGTGTTGCCTGTTCAAAAGCAATAAAGGGGATTACATGCGGTATAATTGACTGAAACCCTGCAAAATAACAAAACAGGCTAGAGTCCAATACTACTACTAAAAAAAAAATTGATGCATCTAACTTTAGAAACAACCAGAAAACAGCAACCATGATATCTAGACACATTTTTAAATTTTCAGGCATAATCACTACAAGCAATGAACCAAAGTATATATTTTTAACAGGATCTGAGGTTTTATTTACTGATGGAGATCTATTAATACTATAATTAATATTATATTACAATTAGTTAGGACTTGAAAAGTGCAAAAAGCAAATAAAAGATATTTGAATTAATCTGCTTTGGTTAGGTCACCTGTATCAATACAAAGCTCAGTAACCAGGTAAATGCTAAGGCTGTTGGTCCACGCTTAACTATCCCAGCCTCAGCACCCGAGCCATGAGACCTGAGCTGCTCTGTGCAGCCCTGGCCTGCTCACGTGGCTGGAAGCGCCCTGACAAACTGCAGGGGGCTAAAGAGAGACAGTATATTCCAGGCTTCTTTTCTCTTCCATTACCTCACGTTTCCTGCCCACTTCCACAGCCAGGTGCCAAAGGAGAAGGGAATAACAAGGTTGCTCGTGACCGCAGCCTTCACGAAACGCGGCACCTGCTGCTCCACAGCTCCCACTGAAGGAGCAGGCACAATCTTCCCATCACAGACAGGACACCAGTAGTTTTGACTGGGATATGCTGTGCATTGTCTCTGATGGATTTTATGCAAAAAAAAAAGCCTCTCCTAGGCTAGAAGCATGCTAACACCTATGGTTGAAAATTTACATTTATAACTATTGATGTCATCTTATACTGTTTGTTTACTATTTATCAGCATTTTTCTATTTCTTCTTTTTCTTTTTTTTTAAATGTGACTTAATCGATATACGTCACATTGACACCAGTCATCCATTTCATGTAATGGGAGTACTTAAAACTGAACGAACCAGCCAATATGTGCATACACAACAGGCACTACGCATTTATTTGATATTTATTCTTTCTTTTCAAGTAATTGAGCATTAAATTGTTTGTGTCAAATCAATGAGTGAGTAGAAAGCAATATTTTTTCCCACGGAATAAACCCAGCCACAAAGCAAACTTCCTTGTCCAGAGTTCCCAAAATGAGAAAAAAAAAATCCTGTTTGGTGGGAAAGCAGCTGAAATCTGACAACCATAAAAAACTGGCCTATACCGAGTCCCAACAGGGCACCAGCTGCCTTGTCCTTAAGCTGGCACAAGGACACACTGAACTGACGTCAAAGAAAGCCATTTCCCATAAATAAAAAACACATTCTTTTCAGGGACTGACTTTTTTTTCCAGGTAAAATAGTCTCTTAAGAACAAAACAACAAAGCACCATGTGAATTAAGGGAAAAATATCACACAGCAAAGGACACTGAAATGATTTATTAGACCTACCAGTTCTGCAGTGATTTTCACCATCAAATATAAAGTATTTCAAAGGAAGAACATAATTCATTAACGTCACTTTAGAAGTAAGCAAAAGGAAACGCAGTCAGTCTGTAAGGGGCCAGCAAAATAACACAAATCTGGTCTGATACTTTGTCAGACAGAAAATGCTACTTGCAGTAGCATATATAGAATATTATGATTATGACTACCAGGGTCACGTGGTAGTTCTTTGAGGACATGAAATGTAGGCCCTGGTCTAAACCAGGCTAGAACTAAGCTGAAACCCCTTTTGTCTATCAGAACAAAGGAGGACTGCAGTCTGCCTGGTTTTTGTGGTCGCGTCTTGGAGCATGTGGCAAATCTCATGGCACAGCCTCAGCTTTTCCTTACAGGTAATAACTAAAGGTTCTTTTATTTGAAGGGGCACCTCCTAAGCAGAAACAAACAAAATCAAAACAAAAATAGCAGTGTCAATATCGAATATTGCTCCTTACCTGTTGAAAATCTCCAGTAGAAAAACTAATAATAGCTGTTGGAATCACCATAAAAAAAGCGTTATAGAAAAGGACGCCATACTTTCCCAGCTCCTGTAAAAAAGGAAAGAGTGTTTGGAAATACAGCCCAACCAACTAAGCGCGGCTCTGGCAGTCCTCTGCAGAGGGAAGCTGAACCAAGCCTGGCTCTCAGAGAGAGCCCCCAGAGCCACCAGCGCCTCAGGACACTTCGAGCAGCTCCAAGGCCTCTCCACACCCTGCTGGGCTGGGTAATTCGCCTGGCGCAAGGCAGAAGAGGACAAGGGGAACACAAAAGGAGACTTCCCCTTGCTCCAGATCCAGCCATGCTCCTTGGCACATCCCTGGGGCTTAGCTTTTCCTCTAAAAGGAAGGCCTGTGTTTTACAGAAGCCTATGGGGCCATTAAGCATTGCTCATAAAGCAAAATGCAGAGCCTGGATTCGGTGTGATTTCTGAGATTATTAAAATATATATATTTCACTGTAGAGACTGACTCTATAAAGTGACTGACAAAATCTCAGTCCAAGACTGCTCTTTGCTACATTTTGCTCAGCTTTTTTGGCATTGTATTTGAAAAGCAGCCTGTTCAACGTTTATTTAAATTATAATGGGCCAAGGTACCCATCTCTTTGGCATAACCATGTATGCTGTAGATTTGCTTTTAGACAGCTAAAGCTAGCTATCAGTTGTTATGGTTATAACGGTATTGGTACTTGCTGACTCAAACTTGAGAGGTCATGATTCCTCACCTAGACTTGATTTTACATAAAACTTGCTCACAGTGTTACTGCTGGTCAATTGCATTTCTCAGGCATATATCAAGCTTACAGGTATATAATTTTCCCCTCACTGTTCCATGTTAATGATGCATTGATCGAGTGAAATCTGAGAGCAAATTAAACCTACTTGTTAGGCTATATCACTACATTCATAAAACAGGTAACCATTGTCACCATACTTTCATAATTCTAATTTCACCCCACAATTACCTTTGGATCAATTTTCTGCTTTGTGTAAACTCCATTTGCTGCTGTGAAGATATCATTTAGCAATACAAAGGTGTAGCCCTCCAGATTAAAAGATAGGTCAGACCTTGAAAATAAATAATATTGTAAATAGACAAGCAGCAGACAGTACATTGCACTACCTTGTTTACCTATAGCAGTAGCACAGAAGAGGACAAATAAATGCCAACAACTCCAACAAGTCCTTTATTATAGCCAGATATTTCACATTGTCACACTTACATGAAAAAAAGAAAAGGCAGAGAGCTCTCAGAACTCAGCATGGTGAAAAGAGATGTTTAATTCTCACAGGATGGAGAAAACTTTCATACATTCCAATCCTGAAAATCTGTCCAATTACTGCAGAATATATTTATCTATTTCTTTTAACAACAACAACAAAAAAATACTAGGAAATAAAAATCTGACTACTTGTTTTTCAGTCAGACCAGACATATTGTCATCTTTTCTGTTTTGACTAGTTCCCTCATGGCTATAGAGTAATTTATTTAATAGGAGGTGGCTCTCTCCAAGTCATATCAAATGGAAATTATTTACCTTTGTATACCTCAAAGCCAAAAAAAAAAAAAAAAAAATACTAAAACAAAAAAAAAAAAAAAAAAAGGAAAAAAAAAAAACCCGAAAGATGCTTCGAGTTGGAATCTGATTTTTTCCTTCTGTGTACCTGCATCACTAAGTGATGCTTGTAGACAGATTTTTCCAAATTAACTTCACCCACAGTGGCTGAACTCAATTTAGAGCCCCCTGGGCCTTAGCAAGGACAAAAACCCTCCTGTCACCGTACTCAGTATAAACAAGTAAAAGCCTTACCCAGCTGCTATGAAGGCCCCGAGAATGATAGCAAATACGCTGACTATAACACTTAGCGGATACCGTTTCCTGCAGATGAAAATGGTTCACATTTCTGTTATTAGAGGCAGCGATTACAGGGCAGCGAGTTTCAGTTCCATCCATCCAGGCTGTGCAGACACAGCCCTGGGAGCCCTTCGGAGGCGGCGTTGCCGGCTCGGGGATCCCTGTCCCCCTCTCCCGGTGGCGCTTCAGCGCCGAGCACAGGGGCTGGCAAAGCACCACAGTCGTCCGCCCCGCGTTAGTACCCACAGGGGAGCTACCAAATTAATGGATGACCACGAAACACGGGAAAAGTGCTACGCTTCCCTTGGGTGTTTGGCCATCTCATCCATTCCTGGGGTGCTGTATGGCAGAGCTTCTGGAGTATTTCCAAGTACCCCAATTCCCAAAGGGGGATGGCAACCTAACAGGGGCTTTTCAAAAAGCTTTTCTCCAACCACTGCTCTCATCTTGCTTGGTTTCAGCTTCAGCAAGCTGTTTTCCCCCTTGTGACCTAATTTCAGACAAGCACAAGCCATGTGGTTAGAACTATGTGGTAACACAAAGCAGCACATATAGCTGTTCCTCCAAGCCATATTATAACTGAAACTAATTAATTCAAGATGCAATACTTTAAAATTCTAATTTCTCATAAAGGAGAAAACTGCTGTATTTATAATTAAAGATTTTTTCGTTAAGCACACTGTCAGATACCATTCTGCTCCATTAAACTGGCCTGTGCTAAGACTTCAACCCAGAAAGCTGCTGTGTAGAAGCAGGCTGCCACACTTCAGCCATTGGTTTGGGACATAAGGACCTGTCTACTTCAAGGAGTTTCCAGCACAGGAATCTCCAAGATTTAAAACAGCAAATGACAATCCCCCCAAAAAAGACCACCTGCCTGGGTTACGTTCTGCTTACCTCATTCCTGCGCATGCAGTCAAGAGACTGATTTGCAAAAAACGAGAGCAAGCAGATTTTTTTTCCTGTCTTCACTATATTCACCTGCATCTGTGCCTTCAAAGAAAAAGCAACATAAAATACAAACCCCCTTTCTTTGCTCCTCTCTAGCTGACAGTAGAAGTCAGTCATCCAATAACCTGATGAGATGCCACAAGTATGAAATTTGGTATGGTCTAAAATAAAAGTAACCAAAAATAAGGAGAAAAAAAAAAAAAAACAATAAAAAAGGATCACCCAAGTATGATGATTTCCAGTAGTAATGTAAGTGGAATGGTAAACTTCCTGAGCACTGTAAACATCGGCAAACTGTTAAAAAAAAAAAAAAGAAAAAGGAAAAAAAAAAGACACCAAGTATACAGTCAGATTAACAGCATTTGTGTGTTCTAATTCTTATTTACTTTTACTAAGCATAGGATGAAAAGATTAGTCTAGCAATAAGTAAACAAAACAAATTCCCATCTTCTTACCATACATAAAAATGTCAGTCTGACACTAGAGGCAGATTAGATAACCAAATCATTGAAAAGAATGAGATTTGCCAGTTTTTAAAGCAACCCCAATCAGCTATCACCTTAGAACCCCTTTTATATCAGAAAGAGGGAACACAAAGTCTATTTTCTGCCTATCACAGCCCCAGTGAAATAACTTCTTCTGCAGAAAGCCTGGGCAAGGTAACGAAGGTTGTAAACCTGAAGGACAAGCAATAAACCTGTCCCTGTAAAAGTACGCTAGAAATTAGACACAAAGCAAATAAACTTAGCAAACAAGTTGTACTTGAGAAAATGTAAAATAAATCCACAAGAAGAAAGTAAAGAATATACATCAAAGGTTGGACCACCTGCAACTATCAAATAAATGGCTACATTTGAGCAAAGTGATGCAGTTGAAAACCTTTTGAATCAATTTGAGGAAACACTCGCATCTGATACTCTGGAAATCAGACAGTATGGCCAGCCAGAAAAAAATAATCTTTTGTAATAGGATAGCTACTAGCAATTGCATTAATACATGATATAATTCATAACATGAGCTTAGCTAAAGTGCAACAAACCGACACTTGGATTGTCTCGGCTGGAACAGCGGGGTTTGACTAGATGATCTCTACAGGTTCCTTCCAACCTTAACCATTCTGTGATTCTGTGACTGCCTTCCTGCAGGCCTCATGCTTCTGCATCCCTCTTCCAAGGTCACTTGATCAAGCAAGGAGGTCCTCTACCAAACACACACATCTCAGTGTGAGAGCAGCTGTTGGTGAGGAGCCCACCTGCCTTTCTGCCCTCGTAAGGGCTGCTACCCCCTCACTGCATCGCTCAGACCGTCCACAACAACACGGGCCAATATCACAGCATTAACCTTTAACACGCTCTTCTTCCTTTAAAAAAAAATCCTTTCTCACAGCTTTCATCCCTCTGGTTAGGTCAACCCCAAAAAGCCGGGGATAAGATGTCTGAAAAGGTGGAAAGCACTTCCATGGTGGTACAGCTTTGATCTTCTCCTGGTACAGGCCATGCTCAGCCTCCTCAAGAGGCAGGTAACTTGCAAACAGGTAAAATGTCTAGGTTAGGGTTTTGCAGCAGTATCGGGGCGTAGGCAGACATCACCCATTGAAATGAAAGCGTATAAGTCCTTATGCAATGCTTCCTTATAGTGCTTATTTTGTACTTTCCCTCCCATAAAAAAGGGGTGAAAGCCAAAGACTCTACTTATAAATTCTATTTACTGTACCTGAGTCTGCCGGTACTTGATAATCCACTTATGTGGTTCCCAACATAAATCAGAGGCAGAGGAAACAACTGTGATAAAATTAAGAGGACATCCTAGATTAAATCTATATTTTGAAGCACCTTTGAAAAATTTGATAGAATTTGATACATCTAATATTATAAGTATTTTTAGCGACAAGAAGAGGGGGAGATCTTAAAAGAAAAAGAAAAAAACAAGCAAACGAGCAAACAAAAACAAGTATGGTGCAAAATGAGCTTCACTCCCTGTTATTCAGCCATTTACGACCCCACCTTTACTAATTTCTGTGGAACAACAGTGATTTACCTCTAATGAGACTTAGAGTCTATTTGGATTATATTACATTATATTACAATACTACATTTCATTTTAATTACTATAACCTTCCTAATATTTGGATTTACTATTAAGAGAAGTATTAATAACAGTGACAAAACAAGCAAGAGAACAGAAAGAGAAGAGCATGAATAAGCTGCAAGCAAAGTGTAGCAAGCATGCTACATCTCCCCGGGTACTCCACATCATTTTCAGCATACCTAGTGAATCAGGCTACCTGAATTAGTCAACAGGACAGATGAGCATTTAGAACTGTATAAAACCTTAGCATTCCTGGCCTCCAGCATAACAATATTTTCACTGGAGTATGTTACCCCCAACACAGAACAGTAACAGAATTTCACAGCCTTAAGGAAAGCCGAGGAAAGCCAGGATCTGCTGGGCTGTCAGCAGTAGTCCCAAGTCCATGTCTGCCCGCTAGAGGAAAGCGGCACAAGTTTGAAACCAACAGACAAGCTTCCCTCTCACCCTCCCGGGAAAACTGCACCATCCAGTCACAGCAAGGAGGGGCAGGGAAGGAATGGCAGCAAACACACAGCCCAGAAAGCACGGGCTTACCACGGCATGGTAAAACGCTACCTCTTCTGCAGATAAAAGCAGTACTCATGTATAGGATGAAAAGAGAGCAGACAGTACCTTCTCTTCCCACTAATAATTGTCTGCTGTAAAGGCAAAGTTACAATTACCTTCCTTCCTCTAGCACAACCTCAGAAATTAAGGAAACATCTATGTAAAGATGGAGAACTCCAAAGGTTTCTCACTAAAACAAGCACTTTGCCACCTCAAAACTCCGCCGGAAATCCCTGAGGCCGCAGATTGATCTGGGAGTCTAAAGGGAGAACCTTGATGCCAGTGAAGGCAGGACGCTGGAGTTACTCATTACAGGGAAGGGCTGTTCTGCTTTACAGAGAAAAGAAATCAAAGAGCAATGCAGCTGACTCATTGTGACCACCACACAGACAACTGCTGAATGCAGCATAACCTGTAACGGCTTTCAAAGGAGAGATTAAAAAAAAAATAAAAGGGAAAAAATCAAGAACCACATTTTTAATGCCTTTGTATTCCAGTTTGGGTGAAGCCTCCAGTAGAAAGTGTAACAGGATGAGGGAGGATGTGTGGGCTCAGGCTGGATTTTATGTGGAATTCAAAACTACCAACTGAGACAACTTCCTCATTCATACTAAGAAAAAAAAAAAATCTGAAATGCCCATGTTTATATTTGACAGCTAGATATCGCTGCAAGATGACTAAAAGCTGTCACCACAGGAACTTGAGCGTGCCTTGGAAGTACAGAGTGATCACCAAATCAGGCACCTGGGCTGTGACTTTGAGACTCACACCAAGACCAAAACCAACCGATTCTGTGGTGAAAACACAGAACAGCAGCAAAGCCGGGATCTAGGCCCCTCGGTGCCCCGGCGGGCAGCACTGAGGCTGCAGCCGGGCACCAGCGCGGACCCGCGCCCGGCGCCAGCGCGTGGGACTGCGGGCGCCGCCACGCGTGGCCTTGGCGCTGCAGTGGCCTCAGCGCCGCCACGTGCGGCCTCAGGGCTGCGGTGGCCTCAGCGCCGCCATGTGCGGCCTTGGCGCTGCGGTGGCCTCAGCGCCGCCATGTGCGGCCTCGGCGCTGTGGTGGCCTCAGCACTGTGGTGGCCTCGACGCTGGTGGCCTCAGGGCTGTGGTGGCCTCAGCGCTGTGGTGGCCTCAGGGCTGCAGCCCCATCAGGCTGGTCTCCAGCTGAGACATCCAAACACTGCCCCCTGCACCCTCAGTCTGACCGGTTAAGAGCACACGTGCTTGGTAGCAAGGGCTGTTTCTTCCTCTACGAAATGAAATACATCTAACATACTGAAATACTGACGTTGGTCTGGATGTTCTTGCATACAGCAGTGTCCACACACTATACATGTTTCCGACTATAAAATGCAGGTAGCCCCTACCTGCGACGTTTGCAGCAGGCATTATTTTAGTCCACTCTATGGAGTCATTATTTTAGTCCACCTTTGAGGCAAGAACTGCTTGGGATTTTAGTCAGTGATTTATTATTTTTCTATTGCTTTTTTTCCACCAAGGCTATTCACACTTCTGAGCAGCACCACTTTCCATCCTGTAACTGTGATCAAAATTCTCTCCTAAACACAGCCCTCATGAGGCCCGCAGGAAGCTGTAAAAATGCTGAAAAACACTTCAGCCATCCAAGAAGATTCATCCTGCTATGTGAAGGTACAGCCTCCAATGCATCTTTTTCCATGAACTACCTAACTAAGTGACATTAGATTTCTCTACAGACAGACAGACAGCAAGAATATTACAGCGAGAGGAAAATAATTTAATCCACTAGGGAAATAAAACAAAGATACAGACAACCACATTTGATAAAGAAGCTCAAAAATACAGTATTTTGTTTTAAATTCTGTTATCATTAGAAAAAAAAAGTGAAGGCCTGCAGAAAGAACACTGTCAGAAGAGCTAACATTCTTATCAACATGAAGACCTAAGTAATCCTTACCTTCACAGGTATACTTTTGTCAAAATCAGGAAAGTGAATAATCTTGTTTAATTTTGACACATATAAGATAAGTATGGTGGCTGCCATCTAAAACAAACAAAAACTTATGTAAAAGCAAATTCCTAACGTATACATGATACCAGAGAGAACTGCTTTAAAGACAAAACCATTATATGCATATCTGACAAACACTAGACATTACACATTCCAAAGAATGACATGGTGTGCAACGAATAAACATGGATAATCTCTTTCTTTGTCTTGCCAATTTTGACTGTTCTTTAAAAATGCAAAATAACTATGGTGTTTCTTACTGGCTTGAGAAAGTAAGTGGCACCTTGTGAAACAACACAGGGCTTATTAAGCAGCTGAGAAAATGAAATAGGAACCAACCGCAGAACAATCTTGCTATTTTTATGCAGAGTGTTATGCTAGGGCTCTTGAATCACCCTCGTGACTTTTTTGGTAATGTGAGAGGGGGTCAGGCATGTTGGCAAGTGGGAAGATAAATAAATAAATACATAATGAAGAATGAAGAAGAGTATCTGAGCAAATACACACTACCAGAACCTAATGTGGGTCATGATGAGAGGAACAAAAACGTTATGTTTTCCCTGTATAAAAATACAATAATTCTAATCTTCAGGGAGGGGGGTAAAACAGTGCTCTCGAAACTATATGTAGTGATTAAATCATCTCATATGCTTGTTTAAGAGATGGGTCAGTGAAAAAGCATGGAAAGGCCATGGAGCCTTAGACTCTGCAAGGCAACAAGGAGGTATCATCATCCTCGGTATGAAGTATTTCCATATTTTCCACTCTGCCTTCTGGGAAGCATGAGCTCACAAGGATACCCATATAAGCTCACAAGGATGTGTGGTTCCCTGAATCATCCCAGAGTACACCCTGATACACCAAACCCTCTTCCTCTCCACCTTCCACAGCCAAGACAGGGCACTTTATTCCCTTCAACACCACATAGCAGACAAACAGGCAAGAAAGGACCAAAATCACACTGCAGTCCTGACAGGAAACTGCCGTGGAATGGAGAAAGAGATTTATGAGGAAATACATAGGCAGTTTGTCTACATACTGATGCACTGCCTCTTCAGGTATTTCATACATGCTCAAGGATTGTCCAGGATTTGTGCACTCTCAGGGATGCTCAACATTTTGAAGGCCCAATTTCTCAATTACTGATTTTTACAAGCAAAGAACAGTAGCATTTCCAGTCCTTTACATGGCTTCTCCTAGAAAACAGTTTTAACTCGAAGTTTCCTCCATCTCACTAGAGCAAATCACTCTTCCTTACAGTGTGATTAATTTATAAGAGCAGCCATGAAATATACACAGGGATTTATCTATCTAAAATATACCTCTGTGCTAAGTGATAATTTACAACATAATCAGTAAGATTAGTATGCCTTGCTTGAGAACATACCTGTCCAATTCCAAGAAATATTGGTGATGGAAAGCTGAAAAACATAAACAGACATTTAAATCAGAGGAAAACAAAACAAAAAGTTCAAAATTAGCACCAACATGCCCAACGGGACACGTGGATGACTGGCTGGAATTTCAAAAAAGCTGAGGAACTGCAACACCTACTGGAGTCCTAGTTGCAGCAGGATGCAAGCCATATCAAAATAATACAGCATACACACTGCTGACCAATTTTAAAGAGTCAGTTGTTTCTCATATATTTATAAGTTTTATAACAACAAAATGTGTGTTTTTTTGGGAGGCCTCACATACACAAAATATCCTAAAGCTGCGCAGTCAATTACATCTCTTGTCACTTGTCTTCCCTTGGAAGCCTATCGTGGCAGCCAAGCAAGCTTAACAGCATGTTTTCATAGAAAGTAAGCTCCTGTGTAGATGCTGTACAAACGCTTACTGGTTCCTGGAAAGGCCATACCCTTCCAAGGAGCTTGAGCTGTGAGCAGGACACTTGAATGACAAGGAAGCAGAAGATTAAGCAGGGTGCAGGAAGACTCCCAGGATGGCTCATCTGCCTCCTAGATCCCGCTCAAGTTAAAACACGAATAAAGCTGTGGCAGTAGGTGCTGATTATCTGTGTCTGTACTGAGATACAAGCAAGGAGGTAGCTCAGTATGGGCAACCAGCAGAGTGCAGAGCCTCTCCGACCAAAAGCTTTAGGTGCCGAGGGGCTCCCTAAAGGCAACTGCTGCCGCCCTCCAGGAACCAGGGAGCATCCTGCTGAACCGCGTCCTCTTGGACGGTCACACACGAACTCACACGCTGGGAACCTGAAGTCAAACAGCTACTTTATTCTCCTTCCACGCCTGTAGGAAAAGAACTCCTTAAGAAGATCCCACCTTCTGGACAGCTGGGAGTTTTCTACAGCCAAGGGAAAACGTTTTCCAAGGCCACAACATCCCCGGGGCTGCGGCCACGCGTCGCAGGGCTGCCCAGCACCTCCAAGACGCAGCTTGGCGAGCGGAGGCACCGACAAGCGGGCACTGCGCTAGGGAAAGCGAGAAACGCTGCACTCGGCGGCTGAAGGACACCAGAGAGCTGGAGCCATAACACAGATAACACAGGGGTTAGGAGAGGCCAGCGGGAAAACACCTCCAGGAAACAGAGGCACCAGGAAACATGGGAGCTGCAAGCTGCTCTGCTGGCAGCCACGTTCTGCCTAACCTGCGCTCCAGCTGCTGCTTACACTTAGGCAGGGTTAAGCACGGAGGCTTTGCCACCTGCAGCAGGCTGTTTGGGCACCGCTCGAGCCGCGGTCCCGGGGAGCCCGGGCTCACCTGTAGGCGCTCAGCAGCGCCTTGTTGACGAGCACGATGAGGAAGGAGCAGGTCCCGTAGAACAGCGCCGAGAGCACCCTGGGCAGCGGCGACGCCGCGGGCGACGGCTCCGCTGGGCCCGGCGCGCTGCTCATGGCCGCGGGCGACGGCGACGGCAGCGCCCCCGGCCCGGCCCGGCCCGGCTCGGCACGACACGGCCCGGCCCGGCCCGGCAGGACACGACACGGCCCCTCCTCCAGCGGGGCCCGGCCCGACCCGGCCGGCCGCGGGGCGCCCCCTGGCGGCGCTGGGGCTCCCGGAAACCTTCCCCGTTCCCACCTGGAGCTACTCCAAGGAAAACAGGTGCCAGGCTCTGCGGTCGTGTTTTCCCTATGGGGCTTCTTCTCTCAAAAGGCGGGATGCAGCAGGGGGCAAACACAGCTCGGCTCTGCTGGGAGCATCCCAAACGCTGCTGTAATTCTGCAGGGAAACAGGTGCCCTGTGGGAGAAAGCCTCCCAGCGCTTTGAGTGCATGGGAATTCCCACATCTCTCCCACATCGGTTCTCTGGAGAGAACGCGGCAGGAAAAGGAGAACGTGAGGTGGTGCTGCCCACCTCTGTGGGGAAGGGCTTGAGGCGGACAGCCTGCTGACCAGCCTCGGCTCTGCGTCACATCGGGCCTTCCTTGGCTTCAAATCACTTTCCAAAATTTTGCTAAAACTCCAAAAGAAGTGGCCTCCAAACATGCTTCAACAGTATAACTTTGAAATGCACAGTGTCAGCAAATGGGAAAAAAAATGTATACCTTTATGTGTCATAGCAATAGAATGGTAGAAATAAGAGCAGAAGCTTTAAGAATTACCAAATACCACACATATATGCTAAACTTGAAAGTTAAACCAACCTTTTATTCAAAGCGTCTATTAAAATGACAGCATATTTATTCTTCTGTTGTTAAGTCACGCCACACTACAACTTATCTTATGAGGCACAGAACACTTCAAGGTATCTTGTAGGTCATCACCCTTTAATAAAACAAAGGTAGTTTTCCACACCTCAGTATTTTTCCTTGGTATTTTACACTTTGTGTGTCACTTAGACAAAACTGCTTGAGCTGAGTTTTGTCTATAGATAGCATTGCAGAATATTTGTCCATACAAATACACTGAAGTAGCCCAAAGCAACACAGCTGATTAGAAAGATTGATCTACTGAAATAAATTACAGCTTCAACCTGCAGCCCGTAGGTCTGACCACATAATCTTGTGCCCTGTGAAACACTGCTCGAGAGCGATTCAAGATTCACAGATACAAAGCATTAATACTCAGACCTAGTTTTAGTATCAGACTATCTGTTTGCAGCCCCATGAATGGTCAAAAGGACTTAATTTGCTTTAGAAGCTTTGAAAGGACACCCATCAACTGCTAGGCAGTTTTATGTAGGCTTAGCAGCCCAAATAGGTTATGGAGTTTTTTGCTTCCTTAAATCCAAAAGGCTTGAAAGGGAAACAAATAAATTCGAGGTCTACTAAGAACTGAAAACAGAATTAAATCATATATAATTGGTGCAAAAACTAATTACATTCAGTGACAGTGATTTTTTTCTTTTTAAATCAGATTATTCTCCAGTTAAGTGCATCAATACATGATTTTAAACAAGCAAGGTTAATACCATCTTCTACCACAGCAGGTATCGATTATCAGAAAACATAATTCAACTGTTGCAGTTTCTGCTGTAAGATTTCTGTCTTTTTCTTAAACAGTTGTATGCATCTGGTCACACAGTAGCAAGTACTTGAAGAGTTTTTTTCCTCTTGAATAAGCAAGAGGGGAAGTGACTTCACTTCTCAACTTCCTGACCTGCCATGGAGGGAGGAGTTAAGAGCAAGTAGGTCAGTAAAGATGAATTGTTAACAATCCTAAAGCAGTAGCTCAGCTGAAAAAAAAAAAATTTAAAAAGTGTGGTGTGTCCAATTTGAAAAGAAAATTGTTACATACTAGGAATCACTGTTGGTCTTCCATGCAAAATACAGAAAAAGTACCATGCGAGACAATGGTATTTCAAAGTAGATAATATTCATGAGGTGACAAGATGTCCTGCTAAATGTTTTCTTTCTGCCATCAAGAATACTAGGCAGTGTTCTGCAACTTTATTTACTTGGGAGCTATATGAAATCATATAGTTAGCACACTGGCAACTACCTTTGGAAGCCTATTTTCTAGTTGTATAATGAATATTTTTCTACAGTGTTTAATTGATAGCTGTGCTAGAGTTAGTGAACACAAAATTGGTATGTTATCCTGAAGTACAGCAATAAGGTGGCTTTATGCACAGGAAGTACGGAGGCTTCTATTTGCTAATAATCATAAAAAAGCAATACTTTAAACTTAGTGTTTGCTAATAAGAGATCTAAAATAGTTTACTAACAAACCAATACCACCCTGTAAATACCCCTTTTATTAACAAAACAAGTGCCAAATCATTACAGGGTCCAGAAACATCTGAAAAAAATACTACCAAATTGTTTTCCTCTGTCTAGACTTTGCAAGACTAATCATTTTCAGATAAAGCCAACAATGTGCAAACATTCCTAACATCATATGTCAAGAATAACAAGTGCTACTCAAACCAAGATTCTGCTGAGATCAAATCAAAAAGCATAAAACAGCAAAGTCATGTCTTATACCTTGAGCGGTCACAGCAAAGATCCTGAACTATCTTCTTACAGTTCCCTGCATGAAGCAGTTTCCTCCCCTCTATGAGACTGAGATATCTGTCTTCTGCCTCAGTGATACTAGATAAAAACATCACGACATTAGAAAACATGGTTCCATTGCTGCTTACAGCATTTTCAGACCTGCCACTTAATTTAGTTTTGCTTAAATAGTCAGATAAATACTTCTCTTGTCAGCCTTCTTTGGCCACACGTACCATTCTGCCAACTATAAACACCGTGTTCAGAAAGTGCTTCCTGTGAAAACTGCTTCAAATAAATGAGTTAACCTTGCAAAATCTAGCCCCCCACAACATGTAATTTGTCCACCCTGCATTATTCAGTCCCATATTTACAAAATACTTTAAAACTTTACATCCATCTTTTACCTTACAAAAAGTGCAATTCTCTCACCCCACATTATGGAGCAACATTCTTCATAAATTCTACAGAATAGCAGCCTATGATAAGCAAATAAGGTGCTTAGCTTATGCCCAGGATCTAGCTGGTTGAGTACCACCGGCAAGGACGTGGTATAGGCAGACTCTGCTCACACACTACTGCCGCAGCGGAGCCACGGCCAGGTTTGCGAGCTCGATGAGGGCCAAGGCGCCGTGCATGCGCTCGCGTTGCTCCTGGAGGCGGCGGCGCTGGGCAGCCGACGGAGCGTCGTTCTTGTCCTCATCGTCCTCCTCATCGGACTGCAGATACTCCATGGGGTCCTGCTGCTCCTGGTCTGTTTTCTGGATTGCTTTGCTTTTCAAAGCAGGGGTCCGCTGTTCTCTGGTCTCCCAGTATCTAGAATCAAAGGCAGAGAACGCTTTAAAGCCACATAACACATATATTATATAAGTTTGTACAAGTATAAACTATTATTATGTGCCAACTACCATCTGAAGTTGGCAAAAACTTTATCAGTACTGAGACTACAGACAGTGCATTTGGCTTTATCTCTCAAACCTTGTATGGTGGTATTTAAGAAGTCAGAGAGCTCCTTTGCTCAGCATTTTTAGTGTATTCTCTTCAGAGAAATGAAGAATGAAAAAGTGATAAGAACAGGCCCCACAAGGAGTTTCATCTTAACCAGCAGTCAACACTTCTCAAAGAAAAGGCAAAACTGGGCTGAATCATGCTAAAGAATTGCCAGTTTAGGATTTTTAAGGACTTTTGCTCCTAAGACAAGCAAGAGAGGCCTCCTCAGGCCACTCTGTTTGGACTTCAGAGAGAGACCACACCATAGGAGGAACTTACTTTGCTAGCCACTCGGCCACCGCTTTGTTATCAGCCGTCTGTTTTTTACTCAGTCTGTCTGTGAGCTCTTCCCTCTTCAGCCGGGCGTAGGGATGCTTGGGGCAGTGGCGATTTGCATGCGTGAATCTGCTCAAACAACCTTGCAGAACAGAAAATACCAACCATTAAGGAAAGCAGTTAAACAGCAGGAGAGCCTATGATCTGCAGGATGAAGATTGAACATTGAACGCCACACCTCCACAAAAGCCTGGATTCATTGAGAACACACTCAACTTCAGTACCTGCTACACAATCATTTTTTTACATCAGTAACAACTGATGCATTTAGTGCCAGAATATGCCTATATGCAAGAACTGCATACAGATCCGCACAGCCACACATGGGTTTTGTGGGGCACCTCCCTCACACAGATGCTCCTCCCCAGTGAGGATCCCGTGGGGAGGGCTGCCACACGACATTTCCAGCACGAGGCTGCCCCGGCACTGAACACACGAGCTGCTCCCGGGGCTCTCACCATTCTCCGAGCAGACAAACGGCTTTTCCCCAGTGTGAAGGCGCTGGTGAGTTTTGAGCTGCCCACTCTGAACAAAGGCTTTCCCGCAGTCCGGGTAGTCACACAAGTAAGGCCTTTCACCTTAAAAACAGTGACAGAGCAGATTCATGACAGCTGAGTTCAAAAAGAGTCATCACAGTGTCCCATGCTAGTCCTTGGCCTGAGACTTGCACAACCAAGCTCCCCTTCTACTGCCTTGGGCACTTGCATCCACCCAAAAAGCCCTAGTAGGCCAGGCACCAGAGCCTTCCTTTGATCCCAAACAAATGCTTATGTGAAAGCACATATTAAATGTTACGAACTTCTCCCAGGCACACTGGGTAGAAATAGTCTTGCAGGGCTGCAGAGCCACAGCAGTAGCTCAGCACTGGTGCTAAAGGAGTGGTAGTTTGAGAGGAAAATTGGGAAATGTTTTTCACTCAATCACATGCTGCCCTTCAAATAGTCTAGGCCTTCAGTCTTACCATGGTAGTTATTTTTTAAACTTTTTCACATGACTATATCATAAAGCTTGGTACACCTACATAAACGATTTGTTAAAAAGACATACTATACTGCAAATAAAACATAACTATAGCAGAACAGGTATAGGAACAGGTTATAGGTATAGAGAAAAGTTACAAACAGGTACATTTTTATCATTAGTAGAAGCGTAAAAAGGGCGTATCTGAGGTGAGTAATACAGGGATACAGAACATTGCAGAAGCATCACTTCAGAGAACATTATTGGGAGGGAAGACAAGAACAAAAGAAAGCAAAATGAAAATCTCTGTCTTTACAGAAGGACAGCTAGAGGATAATGCAGCCCCACCAGCAGGAATTCTCAGTTCAGTATTCCACATATAAGCCCCAAATTCAACACATAATTCAAATATGTGAAAAAGTAAAATAAAGTTTTATTTTTGGAAGACAACATAAAAAACCTTGCATTTAGTATTAGTATATATAATCTCATCTTACTTAGGTACATGGGAACCAAGAGCTTTTTGTTGTTTTTAAATGCCTACAATAGTTCACATTTTATTACAAAAATAAAGTCTTGTTGGAATGCAAAGAAAAAAGTGCTTTTAGTGTAAAGAGCATTTCAGTTCAAGCTCAAAAGGGCACCGAGTGGATACTGCAATTTAACTGAACTGTGACTTGCCTTCTAGAGATGCTCTATAATTACAGTGTAGTAAATGAAAGTGGCCACTTCCAGAAAATAAATTCTAAATAAGCAGGTGGTTGTGGAAGACAACAGGACAGTAATTTTGTTCATTTAAAGACTTAAATGTTTAAGCTACACAGTTAAGTTATACTACATTGTTCAGTTGTCACTTTCTTTTGAAGATTTGTTCTCTGCTAACAGATACTTTTCAACTGCTATGTGCAACTGCACAAACATGAAGCAAACTATCTCCCACTCACATAAAACAGGTGGTCAAAATGAAAACTATTGTTAAGTGCAGAACACGAAGCTTCAGAAAAACACAGCCTCCTGCTAAGTAAATTTCTGACAACAGCAGATGAAATATTTACTCTATTTGCTTCAGCCCAAACTGCTGCTACAGTTACCCAGTCAACAAACAAGGTTATGCAAAGCCTTCTATTCTTCCCCGATTGCACCAGTATGCCACAAGATAAAAGTACAATCAATCCAGCAGTTACATTAAAACATTAGTGGATGAGGGTTTTTTCTCCCCTAGTTGGGGTAAATGCCACCTCTTCCTCCTGGCCTCCTCACTTACCAGTATGGGTTCGCTTGTGCGCCTGCAGCGATTTCTCCCGCGGAAACACCCTGTTGCAGATATTGCAACGTATTCTGCTAGAGGAATGCTCTCCTTCATTTATTAGGTCACGAACTGTGTCTGCTCTTGGTCGGCCACGTCTTATCCCATCCTGCATCAAAATAATTAGGAAAATGAAGCACTGTGCTTCCCTCTACAGTTTAGCCAAATTGTAGAGGGTGATCCAAAGCTTTAAGCAGCAACATCTTTCCCTGAAAGACTTACAAGTAAGTTACAGCATTTCTCTGTTGAACAGGTAAGAATTTTTCCAGTTTAGTTTTTAAACGAAGTTGGCTCAGGGCCCCCAAAGTTACACAATTGTATTACAGACTGGAGGAAAGGAAATCAGAGCGGTGCAACTTGAGCGCAGCTTTTGGAAGCGCGCGGCACCACCATCTCAACACACCGCACGGGTCGCAACCACAACCCAACACGTTTCCCCTCGTGGGGGGGCACACGCGGCCCCAGCGCCGCGCGCCTCGCCCGCGCCCCGGGGGCGGCGGGACGGCCCCTCGCGCCGGCCCCCGGCCCAGCGCGGCCCGTGCCGCGAGGCGTCGCCAGAGGGCACCGTTACCTCCCCGACAGCTCGCGCGGCCGCTGGCGACGCTCCCGGGGCCGCCGCGGTAGCTTCTAGAAGCAGCGCCGCGGAGGAGGCGCGCCCGGCGGCGGGGCAGCCGCGCCATGCGGGCAGAGCGGCGCCAGGCGGGCAGAGCCGCGCGCCCCGCGGCCGTTAGGGGCCGTTAGGAGCCGTTAACGTGCCCGACTCACGCGCCCCCCGCCCCTCCCCAACTCCTCCGTGCGGCCCCGCCCCCCGCCGGGCCCCGCCCCCACGCGTGACGCGGCGCAGCGCGCGCGCCGCACGCGGAAGTGACTTCACTTTAAATCTCCGGGCGGAGCGGGGCGCGCGGCGGCGGGGGAGGGGGGAAGCGGGAAGGCGCGCGCGCGCGCGGCGGGTCCCTTTAACTGCGCGCCGCCCCGCGCGCTCCGTCCCCGCGCCGCTCACCTTCATGTGGCCGCCGCCGCTGCTGTCCGGGCTGGCCGCCTCGTCGTCCTCGCCGGCGTGGGCGCTGGCGGCGGCGGCGCGGCGCTGCGGCGGCGCGGGCGAGGCGGCGGCGGCGCCGCCGGGGCTCAGCGTGACGTTGTGCGCGTTCTCGCCCCAGCGCCACGGGTACACCATGAAGTCACTGAAGCCGGGGCTGGTGGGCACGGGCGGCGCGGGCGGCGCCTCCTCGCCGCGCGGCGCTTTGCTCGGCGTCGTCCTGATGACCGAGACGAGGACGCGCTTCGGCGAGTCCTGGCACAGGATGACCGGCGCGCCGGGCGGCGGCGGCCGCTCTGCCGTCGCCATCGCCTCGCGCAGCGGCGCGGACACAGGGGTGCGGAGCTGCGGCTCGGCGCGCGGGCGGGCACCCGGGCGGGCGGACAGGCGGGAAGGCAGCAAGGCGGGCGGGCGGGCGAGGGGGTCCCCGGGCCGCTTCAGCCGCTCATGGCCGGCGCCTCTCGCGCTGTCGAGAGCCGATGCGCAGAGTCAGCGGCGGCCGCCGGCCATAGCGGCGGCAGCGCCGGCGCGGCCGCAGTCTTCCCGCGCCTCTCCGAGGCGGCGCCGGCTCCCGCTAGCGGCGGCGCCCGAGGAGGAGCCGCCCGCGCCGCGACCCTCCGCGCCCGCAGCCCGGCCGAGCCCCAGCTTTTCCCGCGTTACATTTCGCGCCTGGGCGGTACCGAGCGCCCATCCCGCCACTGGCGTCACCGGGCGGCAGTGCGCGCCGGCCAACCGCGCGGCGGGAACGCCGTGGCCACGCCTCTGGGGGCGGGGCCTGTCTGCCTTCCCGCCCTCCCATTGGCCGCGAGCCTCAGCGATTGGCAGAATTCGAAACTGACTGGGACTCGCGGGCTGCTCCGGTGCGCTCCTCCAGCCTTCCCCTCCCTTCCGCAGCGCAGCCGCTGATTGGTCAGCTGCAGCGGCGGTGGGGCGGGGCCTGCCCGCCCGCCCGAGCTTGGCGCGCACTGTTGTTGTTTCGCCACGCGGCCAATCGCGGCGTGCGGCTCGCGGCACGTGACGCGCCGCGTTTAAAGGGGCGGCGGTGGAGGTGGCGGGTCGGCGGGCGGCCGTTACGGCCGTTGTGAGCGTGGAGGCGCGCGAGCACCTCGGCGGTCCCCCCGCCCCGCCGCCCTACCGGCGGGTCTAGTGGTGCTTGGCCCGTAGGAGGCCCTTGGTGCGGCTCCCCTGCGGGCTTCCAGGCTATGGCGATGTGTGTAACGCAGCTAGAGCTGCCCTTGCTCTTGATTGTTCAGGGACAATTCCCAACGTTCCTGCCCCCAGTGCGAGCAGGGTGCCCTCTTCCTGTGTGCACTTTGCCCCAGCATTCCTTTGCTTCATAAAATTTCATGAAACTATGTGAACGAGGAAGCTTTTGAGCCTTACCTGCTATGTTCCGATGAAAGTTTCTATAAGTTACTGGTTTTGATATCACACTACTGCTTTGTTTGTTTGTTTTTCCAAATTGAGTTTAATACAGTTCTCGAGCTGTTAGCAGTGCAGTTACTAACAGGACGTTTGTGGATCTAAACTTGTAGTTTGCATCCTCGGGAGCTGAGGCCTGGTCTGCTCTCCGTGAGCCCAAGCTGCACTGTCAGGAGCAGAGTCGGCAGCTCCCAGCAAGGCTCCCACAGGCGCAGGATCACGGGATGCGTTAACACCTTCTGCTTGATCCATGTGTGTAGAAGAGATGTGGCTAAAAAGTGACTGGTTTGGTGTTAAGGAGGAATAACACAGTAAAATAGTGGAATGCACCGAGTTAGCTTTGTCTGGTGAACACATGAAAGATCAGTCATGTGTTTGGCTTTTAAATTCCAAGCTGGCTGTTGTGACTCATTTACTAAATCCTTTCACAACCTGACTACTTGAAATAAATGGCTGTATCAGATACAGCAGCGCTTCATTTATCTTGTGCTGTGCTTAAGTGTTTTGTTAAGTAGTAGACCTCATTAATGCAGTATAATTTCTTATTATTAGTGTAATTTCTTTTGGTGTTTGCTTTAGGCCTTTTAACATGAAAGTTACTAGAAATTACTAGTAGCAGTAAGATTACATCCTACTTTTTGCCTCACCATACTAGCATCACAGTGAATTGTATTGAGTTGCTGCAGATTATGAAATGAGAATCTCCTATTGCTTTCGTTAATACCTTAATTTCAACTCTACTGCCAAAGATATGAGGAAGCCAAGTACCACAAGTGGAAGTCTCTTTGTGCTCAGTTTTGTTCTCTGCTGTGAATGTGTCCTGAGAGGCTGCTACCAACCATGCTGCTGTCAGGAACAAGAAAATGCAGGGGAAGCAAACTCACCATGTGTCACAACAAACTAAACCTTATCCAGATAAATAGAAACCCTCCATCAAGTCTCTTAAAATGTAGAGACTAGTACCACACTGCAATACAGCAATGTCCAGAGATGTGGAACTTTTCAGTATTAGTTAGTGTTCATTTTGACACAGTTTCCATTTCCTACAAACAAACAAACAAAAAAACTCTACTAATTTAAGTTCTACTTAGAAAAATTCTTGTTCGTAGTCACAATAACCCAGCCTGTGAAACTACTGAAAATAGTTAAACTATTATCAAAATATTGTCAATATTTTGACAAAAAATATTTTGACAATATTTTCAGCCATGACAATTCCTTAACAAGCACAAAACAAAACAAAACCAAAAAAAAAAGGAAAAAGAAACCCAAACAGTATAGCCTGTAACTTTCATTACCAGAATGAGCACATAGGTCTCCATACACTTGGCTCTGTCACACTTAAAGGTTTCAGATCTAAAAATAGCCTAAAGAAGAATCTTCCTGTAAGAAAATAACATTGCAGTGCAGTGCTAGGACAGAAAAGCATTGTAAAAATTATTTGGGGAAAAAAAAAGGGAAAAAAAGCTGATTTTATATGAAAATAATAGAATATAATAATAGAACTCCCCAACAAAACTGAGAAAGCCCTTCTCTAAGGACACTGAGTAACACATGCTTGCTTAGAAACTCCAGTTACTGATTGAATTAACATTAGAATTCAATACATACAATACTACACAATGTCAATTGATACAAGGCAGTAAAGACAGAACTAAATAGCTCCATACTTATTTTTCACTATCCCAATGTACATGCTAATTTTTGTAATGACAGTTAAGGGGCAGGCTGCAGATTAAGTTTTTACATGGTTCTCTTTGCTTGAATATTTAATTAATACTTAAATATCTAATTAAATAGATGAGAATAAAGCTGATTAGAAGATCTGATACCACTTTTGATACTGTAACTTCTGTGAGCAACTGTGTTTTATGGAAATTGTAACAATTACCGAAGTGAGAGAAGTGGCCTCTTTGTCCAGATCCAGCTGCCAGTAGAAAATAGAGAGAAAAAGAGAAAGTGCACCCAGAGTGTGCATGATACAAGGAGCTTAAAATGCACTGCTTTTGAATCATATAATTTTAATATATAGGACTTTAATAAAGCATTCAACTTTATGTAAAATGATTTTTTCAAAGAATTATCTAAGCTATAGCATTTAACATACTTAATATTTTTAGATATAATTTTGATAATATGCATGTATAAAAGCATTGATACTTTAGGGTTATAGTCTAGAAACAAGAAAGATGTTTCTACAAAGTGTGCCCCTTACTGTCCATGAGGTGTAGTCTGGGAAACAGGGAAAGGACTTGGAGCAAGAAGCCAAAAGGAAAGAAGGAAAAGCACCTGCCCTCTATTAGGCTGGTTAGACTCAGATAAGAGCATTGTAATTTGGGGCTTTAAGAAAGATAAACTCTTTTAGAATAAAAGCTAAGACATTAGATCATTAAAGGACAAAAAATATTTATCAATTGAAGTGAAGCAGAATGGGTAGATGCGATAAATGAAGAGAAAAGAAGGTATTTTGTCTCTTTTGGCCATACTTCAAATGTGTCTAGTGATATTACTATATGCTAACCAGGAAGGTGTTAGATGGTGATGGCCTTTAGGCAGATTTCCGCATTCTGCTTTACATCAGATCAGCTGCGCTTTCAAGACAACGTCGTGTCTGTGTTCTGGGTTCCCATAAGATCATCTGCAAAATGGCTGGGGTTTTGTCCAGTAGAAGTTCATTGTTGTGAAACGGCTTGATGCCACTAAGTGACACAGTGTTTTGTGTTCTACCTGCCCAGGTGCCCGGCCCCAAAGTGTGAATTTGAGCCCTGGGGTGCATTTGGGAAGCCTCAATGCAAGGCAGGGGCAGCTTGCGCCATGCAGGAGACGTCCCCAGGAAAGGTGACAGGCAGGACAGCCCTCGCCGGTGATTGATGCCTCGTGTAAAGGTCAGAGCAACGTCAGCCTCCATTTGGTGCCTCCTGTAATTAGGCACCTCTGAACTTTAAAAGATAAGTGAAGCAAGGGGTCACTTGGTGGAGGCACAGTATGCCAAATCTGTACCTGCTTAGGGAACTGGGTCTCTCCTGCTTGTGGGAATGCTGTTCTGTGCATGTTAAAAATCCTCTTATGGAGAGAACCTGGATGCAAGAGGAATTTTGGCAGGTGGCTGTTGTCATGAGTGAAGTAAGAGGAGTGAGCTGCCATTGGTGAGGTCACTGCCCATGCTGAGCACTGTGGTGTGGGATCCAAGATCCCAGACATCCCAGAAAATCTGCAGTCATACTAGGCCTCCCACTCTGATTTCCTTGGAGTGCACATTCAGGATAAAATGCTCTCTTTCGTGCCAGAGGTTAGGCATGAGTTGTACTTCTTTGTTCATCTATTTCTTTACATTTTGTGCATTGTTTCTGTAATTTTAGAGGCGTAGACTAATGTTAAACATAGTGGAAAAGTGTAAATAAAAAGATTGCAAGTTCAATTTTGGAATATCTGCAAATTCAATTTTAGAATATCATGACTTTTAATGAGCTTTGGACTTGAAACCTACATTGAAGTAAGCACTGGAAAAGATTCAATTATTTTTTATTAACGTCTTGTTCTTTCCCCAGAATCCCAGAATCTAAGAGATCAGGCTTGGTTCCCGGTCAGATCGGGGATTTATAAAGCTGTCTGTGAGCAGTTATTAGTCCTTACTTTACTGCTTGTCACTGTTTCCATAGATGAAAATTTTCTCCCACTTTCTTGAGCTCTGAAAGTGTGGACTGGACGAGTGCACAGTGAGGTGGATCGAGGGCTGGCTGGATGTCAGAGCTCAGAGGGTGGTGATAAATGGGTCCGAGTCCAGCTGGAGGCCTGTGGCCAGTGGTGTCCCCCTGGGGTCAGTGCTGGGCCCAGTGCTGTTCAACTTGTTCATCAATGACCTGGACGAGGGCACTGAGGGCACCCTGAGCAAGTTTGCAGATGACACCAAGCTGGGTGGAGTGGCCGACACTCCGGAGGGCTGTGCTKCCATCCAGAGGGACCTGGACAGGCTGGAGAGTTGGGCAGAGAGGAACCTCATGAGGTTCAATAAGGACAAGTGCAGGGTCCTGCACCTGGGCAGGAATAACCCCAGGCACCAGGACAGATTAGGGCTTGACCTGCTGGAGAGCAGCTCCATGGAGAGGGATCTGGGAGTCCTGGTGGACACCAAGTTAGCCATGAGGCAGCAGTGCCCTCGTGGCCAAGAAGGCCAATGGGCTCCTGGCTGCCTCAGGAGGATGTTGGCAGCAGGTGGAGGGAGGGGATCCTGCCCCTCTCCTCAGCTCTGGGGAGGCCAAACCTGGAGCACTGGGGGCAGTTCTGGGCTCCCCACGACAAGAGGGATGTGGAGCTTCTAGAGAGGGTCCAGTGGAGAGCGACAAAGGTGATTAAGGGACTGGAGCGTCTCTCGTATGAGCAGAGACTGAGTGAGCTGGGCCTGTTCAGCTTGGAGAAGAGACGGCTGAGAGGGGATCTGATTAATATATATATGAAGTACATGAAGGGGGAATGTAGGGAGGAAGGGACCAAGCTCTTCTCGTTGGAGGCCAGTGATAGGACAAGGGGTACAAGCTGCAACACAGGCAGTTCCATCTCCATGTGAGGAAGAACTTCTTTCCTGTGAGGGTGCCAGAGCCCTGGCACAGGCTGCCCAGGGAGGCTGTGGAGTCTCCTCTGGAGGTCTTCAGAACCCAGCTGGATGGCACCCTGTGCCCTGTGCTCTGGGTGTCCCTGCTGGAACAGGAGGGTTGGACTAAATGATCTCTAGAGGTCCCTTCCAAACTCAGCCACTGTGTGATTCTCTGATTGAGTGAGGAGGAGGCTGTAAGAAACACACAGAATTTAAAATTGCTTTTGTTTGGTAGCAGCCAGTCCAGGTAAGATGGCACAGCAGGCACAAGCAGACCTACATGGGAACTGGGAGAGATGTCACAGTTTCTTTTCAGTGCTTGGACTAGTATCTGAAGCTGCCAGAGGCTGCTTTAGAACTTGTTTTGCTGTGCTGTGCCCAGACCTATCTGGGCCCTGGAAGAGAGGGAGGAAACGGTTATCTGCCCTGCTCCCCGTCCCATGGAGTTGAGGCTCTGGAGGAAGCTTGATTTAGCTTCAAGGTCCTGCACCAAGGACAAGATCAGTTTCCCATCGAGGGGACTTTGTGCACTGAAGTTATCAACCAACGTAAGTAATAGAGGAACTGCATTTGCCACTAGTGGTTACAATAAAAACACGATCTTCTTGCAGAAATCAGTATTCTAACTGGCACTTTTTTTGGCAATAGAGCCTGAATGGTTGGGATTTTTTTAGCACCTGCTTGTGTTGTTAGTGCTGATAAGGCTGGGCAGGGATGTTTTGTCTGTGTAGTCCCTGTTCCCAGGGAAAACACAGTGCTGAGTCTCCATCGGTGTTTGCTTTGCTGGCTGTTTTTATAAAACTCAGAGGTCTAAGATTGCCCACAAGCGTATGGTTTTATATAGCTTTGCTGTGGTGAATATTGGTCAGTTTCATTCTGTCTTTTTGTCGGACACAGCAGCTGTTCCACCTAAAGTATAAAGCATACCCGTGTCGCTGTCGTGCTGTGTATTTGCCCTTCCTTGTTGCCTGTGCACTGTCCTGCCCTGCTTCAGCTCAGCGCCTTTCCCAAAACCTCCAGTTGCAGCACTGGACTTCCACTGTCATGCCAGGGCTTCCCGATTTACTTTGCCCAGATGCTTTCCTGTAATTTATGGAATCCAAGGCACTCCATTTTCCTCTGCGCCTTCCAACCATCCTTTGAACAAGAAATATTGGTAAGTCCATATACATATACATTGTTTTGTTTTGCCGCGGGTAAGGCAGCGTGCCCTTGTTTGGCGGCCCTGGGCGTTTCGCGGGCTCCAGGATCGCCGTGTGGAGCCCGCGGTCACTTAAAGCCCCCGGACCGCCGTGTTCGCTGCCGTCGCCGCGGGCCGCGGCTGCTGAATAATTCATGAGATCATGAATAATTAATCAGCTCCCGCGCAGGCGGCGGCTCGCGGGGCCATTGTGGAATATGCGGGGGCGGCCCAGCTCGGGGGCGGGGCGGAGATAGGCGTTGGGATTGGCTGCTGGCGCTCACCGTTATTTCTTATTGGTCACAGCGAGTTCGCGGCGGGCGGGGCGGGCGGCGCGGATAGGTCGTGGCTCCGGGCGGCGGGTAGCTGCCGCACCACCATTGGCTGCCGAGGGGCGCGGCAATGGTGCGGCGGGCGGGGCGGCGCTGAGGCGGGAGCGGCCGCCGTTCCCGTGCGCCCCCTCCCCTCCCGGTTCCTCTTCCCATTCCCTTCCCATTCCCTTCCCCTCTCCTCCTCTCCCCTCCCCTCCTTCCCCGGTTCCCGCCCCCGCTCCCCTCCCCGCCTCCCGGCGCCGTGCGGGCCGGTGGAGCGCTGCGCAGCGGCCGCGCCGGAGCCGCCGCAGCGCCGGGAGCCCGCGGGGCGGCCGCGGCGATGATGAAGGGGGCGGTGGGCAGCCCGGTGGCCGCCGTCATGCAGGAGAGCTTCGGCTGCGCCGTCGCCAACCGCTTCTACCAGCTGCTGGACGACGAGTCCGACCCCTTCGACATCCTCCGCGAGGCCGAGCGCCACCAGCAGCAGCGCAAGAAGCGCGAAGAGGCGGCGGCGGCGGCGCGCAGGGCCGCTCCGAGCGGCAGGGCCGGCGTCCCCCGCAGGGAGTCCCAGAAGGAGCGCAAGCTGCCCGAGAGCCCCCCCGCGCCCGCCGCGCCGCCGCAGCCCGGTACGGCCGCGCAGCCGGGACGGGGCGCGGCCGTTGGTGGCCCTTGCGCGGCCGTTGGTGGCCCTTGCGCGGCCGTTGGTGGCCTTTGCGCGGCCGTTGGCGGCCGTTGGTGGCCTTTGCGCGGCCGTTGGCGGCCGTTGATGGCCTTTGCGCGGCCGTTGGCGGCCGTTGGTGGCCTTTGCGCGGCCGTTGGTGGCCGTTGGCGGCCGCTGGCCACTGCGGCCCCAGAGCGCTGCGAGACAGGTCTGGAGCAGTGCCTTGGCAGGTGCTGCCCCGCGGCTTTCACTCCGCTGCTTTATTTTATTTTATTTTATTTTATTTTATTTTATTTTATTTTATTTTATTTTATTTTATTTTATTTTATTTTATTTTATTTTATTTTATTTTATTTTATTTTATTTTATTTTATTTTATTTCACTCTCTTCCCGAGGAGGTTGTTTTTCGGGGGGTGGCGTCTCGCTCAGGCCCTGGCAGCCCGGTGGCCGGGGCCACCGCGGTGCCCTCAGTGCTGAATTTGGCACCATGTGCCCAGCGTGGCTGCGAGGCGAAGGGCTCAGGGGGAGCAGGGACGCGCCCGCGCTGCGGGGATGCAGCCAAGTTTGCTGCTCGCCGAGACAGGCAGCGCCCGCGAGGGCTACGCAGGGGCTGCGGCTGCGGAAGGCTCGCGCAGGAGCCTTCGGATGTGGAAACTAAAACTTTAGAGAGAGAAATGGGGAAACATTGTGTCGTGTTGGTACTAACGCTTCCACTGTGGCGTCTCTTGTATAGGCTAGACCGTAGCTGCCTCATGCTGAGAAACTTTGCACAGAAGACTAGTTCTCTGCCTTGTAAATCACGTGATTCCCACCCCTCTGCTGCACCAGAAGTGGGATGAAGCTAACAGCATTAGGTTTTCATTTCCTCCTGCAGTATTAAGCATAGATTTCCTCACTGCAGCAGCTCCTGTTGGGTTCACGGTAGCAAATGAGCCATATATGTTAATACTTTATACAGAGGAAGGTGCTCCGTAGTCATGTGCCCCTCACATCGCATTACTGTTTCATTAAGGTAGCGAGAGTGCTATGAACTCAGACTTAAAATCTCATACTACTCCAATTCCATTATTTATAAATTACTGTCAAAGACTCTTTAATGCCAAATACGTACTATTTCATCACCATCTTGGTAAAGAATATTCTTGAAAGTAGTCATTTCCAAACAGTTATCTAAAATGATCATATTCTGAGATTCCTATGCAACTCATAGGTCCCTATCCAGAAGACCCGTTATTCACATTACTAACTGGCTTAATTTAGGGATGCTTTCCCTTGGCTATGAACATAAGGCCTGTGAAGGTTTGATTTGGAAGCCTTAGAGCAAGTATTGGCAATTGCTAGCAGCCTGCTGGACTGCGGAAATAGATAAATAACTACTTTTACTGATATGGAAATTCTTAGTTTGTAGAGTCTGGGCATAATTCTGCATAAAATAGTGTGGATTATTTCTGAATATTTTCTTTGATGTCAAGAAACTCAGTGTCTCCATGCAGAGGCATCAAGTGGGTGCACCTTGTTCTTATTTCCTGCTAAATGAAGATAAGAAAAAGAATATTGATTTGTAGGAGATTTTAGGAGAGTGAACAAACATCTAATTTAAGAAGAGCTGACTTGTTCTGAAAACTAGTGTACTTCCTCCTTCGGAGATCCTTCTGGGTTTTGGGAGCTCGCTGTGTGTGTGTCTCTGAGTGTTGTGAAGCCTGGAGTGTAACTGTGCGGAGCTTGGGAGGACCAGCTGGGAAGGAGGAGTGGGACCTGGTCCTGCCTGTGCTGACGTGCTCTCCACAGGCCCCACAACTCCCTCTTTCAGAGCAGCCTTGCTGGGATAAAGACACCTGGCCTAGGGCACACAGCCTAGCTGACAGATACAGAGCAAGTGAGGGGCAGAGATAAAAAAAAAAAAAAAAAAACTAGGCTTTTGGAAGAGGGATAACTGCGGTTTATTTGAGTCATACAGCATTGAGAAACTTGGTATACAGGATTCAGCCTGAGCACTTCTGCACAGAGTAAAACTCTCAGGTTAATGAGTAATAATGAGCAACCTATAATTCCTCGCACCAGCTGAACTTGACTGTAAGACTTCTAATGATGGCCATGTCGCTGTGAGAGTGGCATTTGTGTGAGAGATAAATAATATTCAGTACATTGACCAGACATGAAAAGCTAAACGGGGTGAAATATTTTTGTTTCCTCTCTCTATGACTTATTTATTTATTTATGTGAAGTTAGAGTGCAACTCCTAATTGCATTTTGGAATTAAATGCCAAATAGGAATATCCCAAACAGCTGAGTCAGATTCTAGTTTTATTATTGAAATGACAAATTTCAGTCTGGATTGTCTTGCTTTTATCCAACTACTTTAGGTACATTGCTTGTCAGGGCTGCAAAAATGTTGGCAAAAGTTTATTTTACTTTTGTAATGATTGTTTTATTTCTTGAACCTACTAAATCTGAGCAAAATAGTCTTCACTTAAAGACTTGAAGCAAACTTAGACATTCTGTATGTTTTCGAACTTACAATAAATGTAAAGCATTGAAGTCCTGAGAGACCTTCCTATAATTCTACATATTGGTGTTAAGATGTGAGGTTTCTGTTAAGTCTTACCATTAAGACATGGTAAGCCAATGTCTTAATTTTAATTTGGTTTGTGACTGTCATTTCCAGAGCATTTTAATGTAATTTCTAAAAATCATTCCAATATGAAACAAGTCTGAATTTTACTGTACCTGGTAGTTCAATGTTCAGACTCTTAGAATCTAAACTATTGTGAGCTGATGCAATGCTAAGATTTTTTTAAAATATTTTTTAAAGTCCTTATTTCATTTATATGAAGCCTACTTTTTGCTCATTATGTTTTGTATTTGTTTCTCATTATTTTATTTTCCTGACATTTTCATTTTGTCATTCTTAAATTGCACACTGAGGATTAGGGTAAAGGCCATTCGTAGGTATAACATCCCTTGTAATTGCACCCCTTAATGTTAAGTTAGTTCACTCTTAACAAACAGCATTTGGCAGCTCTTTATTCAGAAGGCCCAGTTGCAGAGTTTGCATTCTCTACCAGTCCAGGCAAATTAAATTTGTTGAGTGTGCAGCAGTAAGCTCTGTTCAGTGGAAATCTCTAAACCTTTGTTGCTAATACCTCCAAAAGGTTCATATATGTTTGTGAAATCATATAGCATTTAGGTGTATTCCTGAATATTATCTGACTGCAATTTTAGCTACTTTTTTAGGTCAGTATGGCATGGAATACTTCTGAGGAATTTTGAGTTATAATGACTGCATTTATCATCTTCTTTAAATAATTTGAGTATCATTCTTTCCGAAACAGACATAAGGATTGTCCAGAAGAAAGTTGCTCGGGCAATCCAGTGATTGAGTACTGGCGCATATGGAAACAAAATGTCACAACGTAGAGTATAGCTCCATTTAGCTGCCTTTGATGTGTAGCATGAAATAGCTGTAGCCTGTTTTTCATATTTTGAGAGACAGTATATTTACTTGCAAATCATTTAATTAGCTATGCCTGGGCTTTGGCTCACAAAATTAAGCACTTGAAGGTTAGAATTAAAATCACATGGATTTACATGTATTCATAGGGGAAGAACTAAGGTTGTACATGAAGCCTTAAATCTGCTGTATTCTAATTCCCACTAAAAAGTGTCTGTGAATTAAAACTACTTTTTGATATTTGCCATTATACAATTTCAAAGAAATGTATATCAGCACATTGCATTGTGTTACTGAAATGTTAATGAAGTAGCATCTTTCTATGAAGCCTTAATTCATGGCAGGGTCCTTGGAATGATAGTGCCATTTCTCTACTACTGATCTTCCAGACCAACTACAGCAGTATTTCTGGTTTTGTTCCTACTTTCTTTTCAAGTCCTAGTAAATTGTTTCTTGAGGCACAGACTCCTTGTTTTAAAATGATCTGTTAAAAACATAAAGCTGAGGGATAGTGGATATGAGTCTCTTAGAATAAGTGAAAAGAGAGATTAGATTTTAATACCAGTGAAAATGCTGCTGCTGTTAGCTTTGTTTGGATATCCACAAAGCATGTGAAACTTCTATGGAAGTGAAAAATTTAAAACTCAATCTGAATTCTTTATTTTGTGTTTATATGGGTGGGAAATGGGCAAAAAAAAATCTGTAAAACTTATAAATAATAAATGACCAGTGAGATTTGTTGATACAAGCTAGTTTAGCTTAGCAAATGCAAATGGCCAAGAGTTGCAAAGTGATGTTGCAATGTATGTTGTGAATAAGCTAAAAATGATAAATTCAGTATCAGTAAATATAAAGGAATATGCATAGGAGAATGTGCATGGAGATGGGGAAAGCAACTTTGCTAGCTATATGTGTTACGAAGGATTTTTCTAAGCTCTCTTTCCTGAACTACAGTAGTTTAAATTGGAGTGGTTAGAACTGGTAGTATGAGAAGAGCAGATTTATTTCCAGTTGCAGTCTAAAAGCTAAATAGTGTTAGGAATTACTGAAACAGTAGTAGCAAAGAAAACAAGTAAACAAACAAACACAAACAACAACAACAAATGTGATTTTGAGTGAATCTGATGTTTCTGCATTTTGGAGAATATGTGATGTCTTGGTTGCTTCAAAAACTAGAAATACAAATCAGTGACAAGTGCGGTCAAAGTTATAGAATCATTTATGTATTGGGAGAAGTTATGCTATGGCTTTTGTTCTGCAGAGTTGTGTGAGGGTACAATAGAAACATATCTGGAATTGGAGGTGGGACTTTGAGAAGATAGAATATTTATTGTTTCTTATTGTATAGAAATAAAGAGATAGTTCAAGCAGATCTTGTGGATTAAGGAGAAAGACTTTTTTTTTTTTTTTTTTTGAGTTACCTCAGTTTTTGCTGTAGCAAAAGTATGGCAATATGCTGAAAGTATTTATCAGAAAGAAATTCCAGTAAAAATGTCAGTGCTTTTATGGGTCTGTCCCTCCCTAAGCTGATGCTTACAGCCCCCCCTCTCTTTGCCCCCCTGGCCAAAAAAAGTAGATTGCAGAAACTGAAAAGTGTTTTGCCGTTGTTTTCTTTCCCTAATTTTATTTTACTGCAAATATGCAAATCTTCAGTCTGGTCTGCTATGGTTTCCATCTGTGTCTGTGAAAACAAAATATTGATGCATTTTTTCTAACTAGTTTTGAAGAGCAACTTTTTAGTGGGATTTTGCCACTTGGAGACAGTTAGTTTTAGGTTTATGAGAATCCATAAAACATTCTGGTACAGCATTGTCAGTTGTATTTTAGTATACAAAATATATGGACAGCTATATTTTAGATACAAAATCCTGCTGTTCCCTTTGGTTGTAATCTCCTTCAACTGATTAAGTTGTGTGAAACTGACACTATCACCTGCATGCTGCTTAGATAAGGGAATGGGGGAGCCAGAGCAAGGCTTCTGCTATAGCCTGAAATTACTGATAGCAACTACAAGTTGAGCTTTTAGGTGTTTGGCAAGTGGGAAATAAATGAGCAGGCAGCAGCCTGATTCCTCTTACCTTATGGGGAGCGGGGAGGGGGTATGCCGTCTTCTGCAAAAAAAAAAAAAAAAAAAAAAAAGTGGGAATGCTATGAGCATGCTATCTCAGCTCAGCAGGGATCAGTGAGTAACTTAGGAAAACTGGAAAACGTTTCTTTTTCAGGAAGCCTACTTTTTTTTTTTTGTTTTGTTTTGTTTTGTGTGTGAGCTAGATGAAAAGACCCAAAAGGCACTAGAATTTGCTGAGTTGCTTTAAATCCTTTTGTTAATACATAGATGTCTAGTGGCAGGGAACTAGACAGTGCAAGTGCTTAGAAATAGCATTTCTGCTTTCGCAGTTGACAGTTTAGTGAAAAAAACTTATTAAAAACTTTTTTTAGAAAGTCTTTCTGCTTAAATACTGCAGTAAAAGTGAAAATAATACTGATGATAATTATTGAACTGTTCTAGCTCTGAAGGATGTTGGTCTTCAGCAGTAGTTGATAAAATGGGTGCTTTTTGAGTCCACTTCTCATATCTGGTAATTTTACTTTTTGCAGATGTCATTCTGTCAAAGGCTGAGATGGGGGAAGAAAAGATAGGTTTGTTGAAGCAGTTTAAGTATGAGAATTTTTCAGATTCATCCTTTCAGAAGTGATGGGCTGGTAGACCAGGAGTCTGGCCAGAAACTTCCCAGGAGAGTAACGGTGAGGTGAGGAAAGGTGATTCCTTCAGCTTAATGCACGTGCAACTGGAAAACTTGTGAAAAACACCTTAAACAGAGGTCGAACTTGGTAATTAGAGTAGAGCCATGTTCTTTTTTTTTCTAGCATGGTGTTTTTAAGACCTCAGGTAGGTGACCTGCAAAAATCTTGGGCTCCTTCAAAGTTTTGAAGGAAGCCTGTCTTCTACATATGTAAATAAATAGACAGAATTGGAGTACACTAGAATTAATGAATATTCAAAGTTTAGCTCAATTCTTTCATTGTAAAGGAAAACCATCATGGTGATGAGTGCACTTGTTTTAATTTCTCCCAGCTCTTCCTAAGGGTTCCTGACCCTTCAGCTACTTTAAAATCGGTCATTCTTGTGATGGACATATTGCAGAGGATTAAAAATGAGTAGCTTATGCTTTCAGTACTGAAAAACGCTGGTTTGCTCTGCCCTCATTTGGCAAGCTGAACTTGTCTTGCTTTTGTACTGCTTCACAAGAACACACAACTTTCTGCCCTGTTGTTTTTTAGAGAGGTGGTGTTGCTAGAGTGATACGGTTTTAATCCACTGCTGACTGTCAAAACATCCATATATATATATAAATATATATATATATCCATATCCATATATATCCATATATATATATATGGATGGATTATAAGTATCCCGATTAATCTTTTTGGTATTTTAAATTCATCTTCAATGTCTTAAAAAAATTAGAGCCATCTGTTAGAATCAAAGTGAAATAGTGTTACTTTGAAATCAGTAGAGCCAAGTGTTTTCCCTAGTGCAAGTGAAATGTGCCACACTCGCATGTTGTACATGTTCCTGAAGTACTTCTAAGCAGTGATTGCCAACAGAGTCTCCGATTGTCTCCTTTAAAATTACTTTCTCATCCCCTTTGTTTTGGCATTGTTTTACTACTACCAAAGAGTTCTCTGAATGTCTGAGTTAATTAATTAAGGTTAATGTTAAGTATGTAGAGAAGGAGGTCTCTGACTACTGCTTTCTTCTTAAGTTACTCTATTTGAAGCAACTGATGTTTCTGAAAGGCAGTGAGAGGCTCAAAAAATAATGCAGTTGCCGTTCAGATCCACAGACTATCAAAAAGGAGATCAAAGGGAGTGTTTCTACTGGCTATGCATAGCAAGATTCCCAGTTTGAAAGTAACACTAGTATGAAAGGTGGTACAATTGGAATATGCACACAATGAGCACGCTTTCCAAGCAGCACTGCAGTAAGTTTAAATATGCTTTAATTGCTTTGTTTTATATTATTTATAATTTTGTTTTTTATTAAATCAGTCTATCTTGAAAAGCTTTATCAGAGGCTAATTTTGAAGTTGTTCTTTATTCATATATATGAATAAATATATATTATTTCATATATATTCATATATATGCCACAATTGTGTGGACAGTTCCCCAATGCTTTCTTTCTAACAGTGAGGTCAGAGCATTAAGGTTGCCACCTGTCTGAATAGTCTTCTCTCCCCTCTCCACCCTCTTCCAGAGCCATGTATTCATTTACTTCTTCATATTTTGACCCAGAGTTAATTTATTCCTTTCTTTGTGCTATAAACTGAAGCTCAGTTGTAGCTCAGTAGCTAGGACTGCCATTTACCTACTAACCTGAATCCAGAAACTTCCTCAGTATTGCACAGGAAGAGTACTTCCAGTTTCATTAAGCTAAGATCAGAATTTTCTTTCTGTGGTTCCTTGCCTGATTTGTGTAAACCTCAAACTTCTGCAACTAGTACTGTAAGGATTTAATAGGGGAAAGGTAGACTTCTTTCCAGGAACTTTGTCCTAAATAGAGCCGAGAATTTGGGAAAGTGGAGAAGAAAGTGTAGAACTAACCTTATTCTCCTACTAATTGTACATGGGCTGAATGGTTAACACTAATTTATTCTCTTTTCTAATATTCCATTCCCCTTCCCCACGCCCATAACCTCCTCTTCAACTATGACAATAGCCAAGCAAAAGGGAAAACAAAAATGCATACATTTCATCCTGGACTATGTTGATTTCTAAGATTAATTAGTGCTGTTAGAGCCCTTGTTCTTACTATGTGGATTTCTGCTATTTAAATCTAGTGACTCATGGTGTTTGTAAATGGTTTCCTTCCCCATAGAGTAATAAGAGAAGGAGGTGACCACCATTTTGTTGCTGGGGATCATAATCCTGTGAGCTTTAAGTAGAGAAATGTAGGCTTAGCTTTTAAATTCAGTCCATCTAGCAGGAAGTGTGTTGTCTGATGATAAAGAACTAAAGCCCTTCTATAACTAGCCTCGTCTTTCTCTCTTCATTGCTCCTGCAACAGTCTTGCTATTCATATTCTTTCAGCCAAATTTCTTTCTCTCCTTAAGTTCTTTGAGGCAGCCTAGCAGAAGCAGTTTTTGTTCTTTAAGATATCTGTAGACAAAAAAGATTTTCCTTTAGCTTTTGTTTTGTTTTGTTTTATTTTTAATGACTCAACTGTTTCTCCACCAGCCTGAGACATGCTCATCAGTGCAGAACGGAAAGTAAGTGGTAACATTTGCTTTATGCTTATAATACTTTGGTGGATGGGCTCAGGACTGGAGAGGGTAAAGAAGGCTGTAGGGTATCGTCAACTTCAGTCTGTTATTTAGCTGTAATTCAGTTGATTAATGTGAATTGTTTTAAACTGTATGTGTGTATGTGTGTGCAGGCCAGAGGCGAGCTCCTAAACGGGGAGAACAACAAGGATGGACTGACAACAGAGGAACAGAAATAAAGCAAGATAAATCTGAATGGAGACCCTCTTTCAGGGAATACCGTTCCTATGAAACTGAAAGACAAGCAGAATTGGCAGTAGAAAAGTAGGTATCATGTAAGGAGGTGTAGGAGTCTACACAGTGGCTGGGAGGGGGAAGACTTTGGACATCATGAACACCACCTCCTAGTACAGGTGGTTTGAAGCATAGTTGTGTTAGTAGTGCATGTATTTGGTGTGAGATTACTGAGGCTCTTAATGTCTGCCAGAGCTGTGCCTCTGAGCCTCAGCCTCCCTGCAGATTGATTTGCAGCTGCTTTTAGCTTTATATTGTATCTCTAATAATTCATGGAAGTGTTATTATCCGGAAACTTAATCCTTAGTCTGCAGGACAAATGCTCTATTTTTGAATTCATATAACCCCAAATTTTGCATGTGCAGATTCAAATTAGAACAGATTTAACAGTTCAAACTCAAAATATAAATTTGTCATAAGCCTACTACTAGCATAGTGAATGCATATCTCTTTTTACTTTCTCTGTAGGTGGCAGAATAATTATATCTGAACTCTCGATACTTAAGAACATGTGTGGTTTTTTTTTCCATCACAATATTTTCCATCACAATATTTCCATCACAATATCCATCACAGTATTTTGATATTCCAAAGACCCTATTAGAAGCTACGTACAAATATGGATTTCAATAATGGGTTTATTACCTAATAAAGTCACCAAAGATACAGTACCTTAAAATGTTTTATTTTTTTCTAATGTTTTCACTGTTTTCCATAAGCAGCTGAAATATCTATTCCCATTTTATGTAAAAACTTCAACTTTGTGTTCATTTTATGTCTGTTTTAAATGATACAAAATCAGTATGAAAATCTGACCAGAAACCTTCTTTTTAGACCAAGTGAAAGATTTGACCGTGAAAGGCCAATAAGAGGACGTGGAGGAGGAAGAGGTGGAATGCGAGGTAGAGGAAGAGGTGGTGGAATTAACAGAAGTTTTGATGGCTTTGATAACAGAGGAAAACGGGAGTTTGACAGGCAGAGTGGGAGTGATAAAACGTAAGTGTTCTCGTGTGTTTATTCATTTATGCAGTGTACAGGTAAACAGTACACACAACACTACTGTATCTAGGTGTTCTGTTTTTTCTGTGCCCAATTTATCAGAATTCAGTACTGGCTTTAGCTTGAGGCTCTGATGGAAGAAAAACTCTTAAAAATACTATTTTTCTCTCTCTAGAGGAATTAGAGCAGACGACAAAAAGGGTGGAAGTGGAGCTCGCAACTGGGGAACAGTTAAAGATGATATGAGGTACAATATATACTTGTGCCCACCATCGATTATCATTTTATATGCAATGTTTTCAAAATTTCTTTTATTTTTTTAAACTTTATTCCTCATGTTTTTTATTTATTTTTGTGATGAGCATTGTTTTACAGTTTTTTGAACCCTTCTGTCCTTTGTGCTGGTGAGATGAACTGTAGCCAAAAGCACGGTGACACTCCTTGAATGAATGAAAAACTTCTTGACTGGGAAACCTTGACAAGAAATCTTTTAATGGGAATAAATTATGGCACTTTCCTCGTGTAAGCCGCATGTATTCTTGTAAATGGGACTCTGTTGTCTGTAACGTTGCTTCAGTGCTAATTAAGAACTGAAGTCTAGTTAATGGGCAGAAGATCTAGTCCCATTTTCTCAAGTTTTATGTATCATGTCTAAATTACAGATGGTAAAGCTATAATGCAATGCAATGAAATTTTAGAGATGCTGACCATGCTGTTGAAATAGATTATGACATCTATAAAGTTCAGTGACAGAATTAAGAAATTTATTACTAGTTAGGTTTTCGTCATGTGTCTAAAAGCCTCAGTTCTGTATTTTTCTGTACTTGCTTTTCTTTGGATTTGCAAAGTAACATGAAAATAATTTATTCTGTTATATGGTTAGACTGACATAAGTTTTGATGAACCTTCACTTTTTAAATGGGAGTTCTCTGTAGACAGAGAAAACTCAGAGCTTCCTCTTTATAACAGAGATCTTTGACTTGCATACACATTCATTTGCAATCATGCTTACGAATACAATTTTGTGTTTAGAAATGTGACTTCAGGCAATTGAGCATGCCAATATTTGTCAATGTATGCTGTATTTATTAAGATTTTCTGGCTAAAAGATTTTTTGCTTGTTTCTCTTTGTTTTAAAAGAACTTCCATGGCTAATAGTTTTGGATTTTCATGTTCCAAATTCTTCTGAAAAGTTGAACCAAGTTTGATTTCTTATTAAAAGATTGGTTAGATACTTGTGCTTTCCAAAATGTGAATCAACTATGCAGCTATAATGAAGTACTTGTTCAATGGTACAAAGTTTATACCATTTTTTAGTATATTATGGAAGATCATAGAAACTTTAAAAAGTTCAGGAAAGCTAAGGTTATTTATTTTGTCTCTTACCTAAAACTTTCAGTTCAATAGCACCACCTTCATGTTTTATGAGTATAAAGCATGCATAGCATAGCATATGCAAAACATGCATAGCAATGCCTTCTTGTAGAATGTGATAAATCTAGTGGAAGTGACATTAATTGGTCATACCATTTACCAATACCATTAATTAATTTTAATTGGTATTATCTAAGCAATTCTGAAAGCATCTCTGTTATGCCTTAATTGTACTTAATAATGCATTAATGGTAGAAGATATTAACTTTATGAAATGTGTGCTTATCAGTGTAATGCAATAAGTATACCATTGTAAAAAGAGATAAAACCCAAAACTCAGTGTACTATAATCAAGCATTGCCATTAGGTTTCATCTTTGGAACAGATTGTGTTTCGTGCATATTTTTCTTTTGAAGGGGAATAAAAGTTTTTTTCCACTGTGAAAACTTCTTGTATTTTGTGTTTTAGTGAGATGGAACAGACTGCTCCAACGGAGGACACTGCAGAAACAGCTGAGCACCCAGGGGCATCTGAAGGAGAAACTCTGAACAAGTATAGTCTGACTAAAATATTTCTTTCTAAATGCAAAGAAGTAAAACTTAGTGATATTCATGACCTGTATTGGAAGATACACTTCTTGAAATCTGAACCGGCAAATGCTACTAATGCAATATAATTTTTTTTCTATATCTTTACATATATACTCAAAAAAAAAAAAGTCCGTAAATCTAATCTAAAGCATTTAAATGCTTTAAATGCCATAATAATAACATAGAAAAATTCAAAGTGTTGGTAGGCTTTATGTACAGAAAGTCTAACTTAATTTTAAGAAATGCAGATTGCATTTGGTTCATCAGTGAAGATTATGCTTCTAAGGTTTGAGGATGACTACCAAGGGGCTAGCATAGTGTTGGTTACCTGTTTAATTTGGGTAAGCTGTAAAACCTGTATCCTGATTTTCTTAAGGCAGCCGATAAGGAAGAGGTGTTAGAGATACCTGTATCATCCTAAAAATACATTTATAATACAGTAATATAAATTCCCAATGTAGTAATTGATGAATTTCTGATACCAGGCAAATGTCTCTTCTTCATGAAGGGCCTTTGTAGAACTTAAAGCTTCATTGGGAATGATTTAGGAATAAACCTTGAAGATCTGAGCGAAAAAAGAGAAATCCTTTTTTGATATTATTATCCATGTTCAGATGAGATAATTCAGACCAAAGATATACTTCTGCCTAAGTAATAAGTAACTAGATATTTCTGTATGAGTAAGAGACTTTTAGGAATAAGTTAATTACTTGTACTGAATGTTCCTTAAGTGGCAAAAGGGGTTGAAATGTATCAATTTTATCTTTTGTTGTTCCAAAGACTTCCTCCACTGCCCTTAATGGTTCAGGTGTATTTATTGGTTGCCAAGGTTCATTTCTTAGCTCAGAAGTTGTAGTACTGATTAGCATACAAAATATTTTTTATGTGAAACAGTACAACGCCTCAAGAGTTTAAGCTGATGAAATTTTGACTTTTTTTTTTTTAAATAGTGTTGTTATTAACTTACTGCTAATGTTACAAAGTTATAGATGGGAGGAAAAAGATCTGTCCTTGGCAATGAATGAAGATTACTGCATCTCCAAAAAAAAAACCACCTCTAGTGAGCTTAAATCTGATGGGTAGGGTAGATAATCTGTCAAAATTGCACAATACTTGTTAATATAGCTAAATATTAAATTAGCTATTTGACTTTTTAAAACAACCTTATGATGCTATTACTCGTTTGAGAGGCTTGTATGAGTTTCCTCTTCATGGTAGCTGAAATTATAGCCCAGAATTTAAGCTCTTTGTAAATATGTTCTGACCTCAGTTGAATGTGGAACATAGGATATGAAAGGTATACTTAATAACAAAAGCATTTAACAGAATTTGCCAGTTGGCTTTAAACCTTCCTGTTTTCTCAGAACTTGCTAGATGTTGGTGATAGGTCTAAGTGAGAGTCATAAAGCTATAATTCCTGAGGTCTTCAGGTTCTCTTGATGTCCAACAACGTCTCTCTCTGCTGTTTGTAGCACTCAAAACTGCCAGTTATTATTTTCAGGAAAAAAAAAAAAAGAAAAATGTATACAAGTTACTAATTTCTAGTAGCCAATTCAGTTGCACTTGCAGCCTCCTGAATTTCTGCAGAAGTTGTGTTAATCCCCCAAACAATACAATATATTTAATTTGTGTGCCATGGTACTTTGAATAGTTTTTTGATTTTTGTTATTCCCCTGTATAACACAGCCTAATCAATTTCTTGTCAAATGTTTTTCTAGAGCTAGTATTTATTCTTTTGTGTTTCCTTTCTTTTCATTTCTTGATCACATTGGACCTTGCTTCTTTATAGTGGACCTATGTATTCTTCAGGTCATTTATTAGGAGGCTTTCAATATTTACCTTCAGGTTTGCAGGGCTATTAAACTGGCTGTTGCCTTTTAAAAAGTGATATAAATCTATCCTTAGATTCCATCAAATATATCTAGGTATTTGACTCAATTTTTTTTTTCAGTAGTTAAGATCAAGCTACAGCAATGCAATTTATCTTACCTTATTGTAATTTCAGGATTTCCAAAGCTGATATTTGTACCTCACTAAGAGTCATGGCTTCTGTAAATGACACTTCATGGGAAAGACTAATGCAAATTCTGATTCAGCTTTCATCAAGAAAGTATTGTGCTTTCTTGTATGGAAAAAAAAAAAAAAAAAAAAAAAAAAAAAAAAAAAAAAAAAAAAAAACCCTCATGGGCAAAAATGATTAGAAAAAGCCTCCATTTCAGTACTTCTGAGGTCATAAAAATAATTGCCTGAGCGGCTGAATTGAATGCCATTCTTTTAGTCTTCTGTATGACTTCTATATATTACTGTGTAATACAGTTCTTGGTAGAAAGATATGCATTGCAAACAATACATTATTTGAGGGTTATAGCCATCCATTAAAAACACTGAAACAGTAGGAGCTGTTACTAAAAACTCACTGGTTGCTACTTTGGTATGTATTTATGTTATGAATACAGTTTCTTTGTGCTTAGAGGCCATACTTAGTTATTTGGCATTATTTTGTAAATGTGATTGTTGATATGCCCAGGAGCTTATCATTTTGATTAATGAAAATAGACAAGAAGCATTTTCTAAGAAGGAATAGGGTTACAGAATGGAAGATAATGCACAGGGTGCAATTCTAGGCAAATTTTGTGCCCAAAATAGCTTCCTGCAGTTGAATTTCTATCAAAAGTATCATACATAGGTTCCCATTACTGTATCTTGATAATGGGAGACACCTTTACTTCGGGTCCAAAAAAATCCAAATCCTTTGGATTTTTGCTGTTTGAAAACAAATACTTTCAAATAAAGATCCAATCGTGCTTTCAAGATGAGAAAACAGAAATTTGCTATGTAGGCTCTCGAACAATTCCTTTGCAACAGACATGGTTGTTTTTCAGTACATGTTGGGTACATGTACCATATTTTTTGATACATGTTTAAAAGCACTTATGACTACTACCTAGCAATACTGTCTGTTGTACAGTGATTGTGAGCAATTAGGTTGCAAAGGGATCTGGCCAACCCAAGACAGGACCAACTGTAACTATACCACTCTATACGTGCCTAAGTGCTTATAAAACTCCTCCAGTGATGTTTTTCAAGGGTCCTTGGGGGCTCTTACAAGATTTCTCTATCCTTTAGCATTTTACAAGGTGTTATGCTAGTATTCATTCCCTTTCTGTAAATAATCTTAATTATTGCATGGTCTTAATCATATGCTTTTTTTTTTCTTTTTCTTTTTACTTTTTAGTAGTCTCCTCAGCTCTTCAAATCTTTCCTTTATAGATCTTGTATTTTATGTCTTTCCAGCTTGTTGTTCTCACATGAAGTCTCTCGTGTTCTCACTTGGCTATGTCTGGAGTACATTACTCATGTGAGACACCTTGGCATAATCCTTCCACTCTGTTAGACAACCATGTCTGTTCCAAACTCCTGTTGAGGAATGTCCTTATAATGTTACACTGTTTCAAAAAGAGCAAATGCTGTAGATTTTAAAGTTAAAAGTAACTCTAGTTAAAAGTAACTAGAGTTACTTTTAACTTTAAACATCTACAGTGATGTTTTGAGGGTCTTACTGGTGAGTTCCTTCAGAACTTTTAACTTGCTTATGAATTTTCACTTTGTGTTTGGGCAGCTGGTACTTTTGCTTGAGTGTTTCTGCTTGTTCTTGGGACTAGCATTCTGTTTTTATCGTTTTTGTTTGTTTTTACCCACTTATTTGGCATTTTTAGGATCTCATAACACTCATTCTGTGTCTCAGTGTTCTTCAGTACGTGCACTTCTGCCCTTTCCTTTCCTGAGCTATATGTTATAGAAAGTATACTGAACATTGCTTTTTTACACTACAAACACTGAACGAAGATGGGCTTAAATCTTTGCTCAAGTACACATTTTTCTCTTGTACTAAAAAGTTGATAGCTGCTTTCCACTAATGTGTTGCAGCCAATTTTATATCTTCCTGAAGGTCTCATCAAGGTCTGATGAGATTCCATAGCATGTTGAGAATTTTATGGGAGGCAAGGTCAAAAGCCTTCCTTGAAGTTGATATCTAAATTGTTGGTTCTATGTTGTCAAAGCAGCTGTTGCTTTGTTTTTAGGAACAAGTCAACCTGTCTTTGATAACACCCTGTTTCACTAAAGCGTTCCCCTCCCTCTTCTCCCCAAGGAGTACTTGAAAATAGCTTTTATTTCCTTTTTAACAAATATTCTCAGAATTCAAGCCTTGGATAGTTGGCCTAAATCTGCCTGATTTCTTCCTCTCCAGGATGACAAACTGAAGTGTTGAGAGCGCAATCGATTCTTAGTGCTTTTGCAAATGGAACAATATTTATGCTTTTTCCCTCCTCTCCCCCATAGAAATAGCTGCATCTTTCAACAGCTCAACATCTTTCATCTTTTTATTTAACAGAGGAAATGAATTAAACCTTGACAGTCTTCTAATAACAAAGTCAGATCTTCTTAGCCGACATTACAAACTGTATACCAGTCATCTTGATTTTTTTTATTTTTATTTATTTTTTTTTTAATACCTGAAACTTTTTTGATATCAGGGTATGAAGATACACCAGAGGGTAGGCATGTGATACAGGTCTTGCATATTTTTGTCTTTTTTCTTTTTTAAGTTCTATTTTAAAACTTAATATACTTAATTAAACCAAAACTAAGGATCTCTTACTGTTCTGTTAAATTCTGTGGTTCTAGCTGTCATACACTTGGTGTTTCAGGATAATGATATAGTGTTGACTGTCAGGTAAGAAGATAATTCTGTGCAAAATCAAGTAGAGAATAAGCTTGCTCTTATCTTGATTCTAAATGTACAGAACGTTTGTACATTCATACTTGGTCTGTAAATGTATTATATATGTACATAAATAACTTGTTTGTCCTGCTTGCACAACTTCAAAGACAAAATACGCAATTCAGTGCATGATCTTTACATCTTTCCATGATGAAAACTTATTTCCACACTCTCATCAAGTCAGCTGTGTATTTACAGTAGGAAAAAAAAGTTGCTCTTAATCAGAATTTGCACCGGATAAGTCTTAATTAGGATTTGGTAGAAGAAGACTTGGGTTCTGATCCTGCCAGGGAAATAAACTGGGGGAAAAGCAATGTTAGTGAAATATTTAACCATCTTCACCTGTTACCATGCATAATGTTTGGGGTAGAAGAAAGGAGGAAGTTTCTCAAGTATCTGTGACTACTCACTGCAAGGCTTCTTGTAGTTCCTAGTATCTGGTTTTGTTTGTTTTGTTTGTTTGAAACAAACATGATGATGAATTGTGCTGTCTGGCCCTGTTTAGTAGGAAAAAGCTTTCTGCGAGCACCCCAGAAAGGGACCCCTGCAGCTAGCCCAGGTCCTGGGCTAGATTGTGATGGTCAGCAGCAGTGAAACGGCACAAAGAGTAGCCAAGCAGTGATGAGCAAAGGAGGAGAAAGATTTTTAGTCTCGTTCCGGGTTTCTCTGAATACAAATTCAGAGGATTAGACATATAGCCTTTTTTCAATAGCTCAAAGATAAACATTGCAGTCTCTGGCGTGCTCCTTATCTTTCCCTAGATCATGTCAGCATTATTGTACTTTGTGTGACAAATTTGAACTTGGACCAGGGTTAATGTGTCTGATTTTGGCAGGTGATAAATCCTGCCTCCTTGCGCTCTACTGCATCCAACAAAAGACAAAGAAAAAATCTTGTGAAATTCACGAAGGACATAATAATGATATAGACATTTCCAAATAAGGCTGGCCCTTTTGTCATTCTGTGGTCAATAAAATATTGCAATTGGGATGTTTTAACCAGCATGGATTAATGCTTACATATATGTGGGTGATTTTTATAAATAAAAATGTGGCTGTATTTGATAGGAGTAGATTCACTGATGAAACACTAGGCTTAAGAATATGCCAGATCAAAAGACAGACTGTCAAGAATCCAGAGTGCTCGAACTTACAGTATGATACTTAAAGTATCGTTTCTTTAGAGACTAGTGTCCTCGTTCATCTGGGCATGTTGCAAGCTAATGGTTTTTACTTTACAACTATAAACCTTTAGAGTTGCTGAAGGGGAGCCAATGGAAGAAGTAGTTCAAGAAATGACCTTAGATGAGTGGAAAAATCTTCAGCAACAGAGCCGACCAAAGCCTGAATTCAACATCCGGAAGCCAGAATCCACTGTTCCTTCCAAAGCAGTGGTGATTCACAAGTCAAAATATAGCGATGATGTAAGCATTGCCTCAGGAATTCTGTAAGCTCTGCTTTACGCCTAGGGTTAGGAAACTGTCTCTATTCCTTTTTCTGCTAGTTTTGGTATAATCTGAACAGACTAGAAATCCATATTCCAGCTTTGTTACTGTAATCATATACGTGCCCTTAAGTTACCTTAAGCTTATTATCTAGTCATTTTTCTTCTCTTAAATCATCGCCTCTATTTTATGTCATGTAATGTGTCAAATAATACTTATCCCAAAAGCTGTTCTACCTTATAGTTCAGGTTTAGCAATACAAAATTTGTGTCCGTGCTGCTGCCACCTGTGTAGATGTCTGGTAACATCACTAGAGAAACCTAATTTGCTAAACGCTTCTTGTATCCTAACTTGGAATCATGTTTAGAATACTTGTCAGTATATACTTGAATGTATATATTAAATTCTGGTTTTGGCATCTGTTAGTCTGGATGCTAAGTGTCCTGTTTCTTGTCTCTGTTGGATTGCAGCTTTCACTGTGCACTTGGACTATATGAAGGATTTTTTTTTTTTTAGTTTTTTAGTTTTAGGGTCCTACTGCTTAAAATAATTCTGAAGAGCTTGTTCCGTATTTATTGTGCTTTTTCCACTCCTCTCCCAAACTCTTTCTACCATATTACTTGTATTGACTTTTCAGAGAGGAATTGTACTTTATTGATATGATTGATAGGTGTTGGGGAAAAGGAGAAGGGTCACAGAATTTTTCATCACTGTATTTGCATATGGTCATGGCCTAGCATGTTTTGATTCCTGGTTAAGGTCTGTGTGCATGTGTGCAATATATGTTTTATCCTTTGTGTAGCTCTAATACTAACATCCCAACTTACAGCTTTTTTTATAAGCCTTAATCACTTTTGATTATTGAGCACTTCTAGGGACAGACTCTAATACTGAGGTGGCCTGTGTCCTTTTCAGAACAGCCACATGGCCCTCATCCTAGCTTGCTTTTTCCTCACCAAGAAAAAAAAAAAAAAGGAGTATCTTTCACATGCTTTGAGAAATGTATGCAAGTATCTGAAGAATGCATGCAAGCTTATTCTTTTTGCCCCTAAACTTTCTTAGCTGGCGGTATCAAGGGACCTCATTGAAATTAACTTAGAATGGGAGGTATAAGAATTGTGTAATATGGACAAGTCAAGTCACTGTTTCAGGCGTTGTATAAACAATAATAACTCATCAAATTATAATTCACCAATGCATGGGATGAGTTTACATATATTTTGACATATTCCCTCAATGCAATGATGAGCAATACAGCATCTGTGGACGCATAGATGTAAAACAGGAATAATCTCATAGCTAAAGACAAATAGAATAGAAGCTAAATGCTACTGTGATTTTAGTATTGCTTTCTAACCCTTACTTCAAGATAGATAACTAAATAGATAGATAGAAGTTACTTCAAGATAGATGGCTTAAACTGATTCCTTAGTCCCCCTAGAAAACCTGTAGATTGCATTGCTGAAAACTTCTCTGTTATGATGGAACTGGTATAGAAGATTTTGTCTTCAGGACTATTTGAGACAACAAAGTAGCAGCTCAGGCATCTGGGAAGCTGTGGTTGTCTTACTTCTGTTCACACCTTGTGCAAGTTGAGGTCTGTCTCCTACTTGGGATGTCATCATGGCTAACCTGCTGCTTAGTTTGCAACAAATTTGTTTGAACCAAGTTTGTGTTGGGTATTGGGGAGGGAGAAAGTTTGTATGTGGAAGTTTTGGGCTCTAACCAGATGCTCTTTTTAGCTTCAAAAAGAAGACTTTGAAGAAGATTCTCACGTCTTTCGAAGACCGGTGAATGACATAACATCTCAGCTGGATATTAATTTTGGGAATCTCCCTCGCCCTGGCCGTGGATCAAGGGGAGCAAGAGGTGGTCGTGGTCGTGGCAGGCGAGTTGAGGAGACAGGACCTCGGCCAGAAGTAGTGGTAACTTTTGTTTGGTTGTTTTTTTGCTGCTTTTACTTTGTGTGAGATCACACATTTCGTCAGTTATGGCAGAATTATTTCTGATTCCTACCTCACGATACGTTAGCCTGGTTATTTTGAGTTCCTGACCCATATTGAGTTACTTAAAATTAAATTCCAGTTTGGCTTAGATAACTAACATGTAACTTTCGAAGGTCCTATCACTATTTGCTCTGATGGTAGCTAGAGGAAGGGATGCAAAGAAGACCTGTTTTTTGAGTTTTGGTATAGAGAGGGATTGATTAAAATGATTAAAGGATTATATGTTGCACAAGAATTGTGTTTCCAGCAGTGCCTGATAGCGCTTAACTGAGGGTGAAAGCAGTGAATCTGTGGCCCAGTAGATGGAGACATGGAAGGTTAAAAGTATTTATTAAGTAGACTGATTCCATGATAATAGTTTAATTTAAGCAAAAAAAAAAAAAATTCCACTGTCTTTTTCCTCTGAATGCATTTGGCTTTTTAAAAATATTTTTCTTGGTCTACCCAATAATGTAAGATCTCAGTTTATTTTTTTTCTGAGTAAAATACTTGGCTTTAATTAAAGTTTGGAAATTAATGATGTAGTTTGATTCTGCTGAATGAAAGACACTTCTAAAATGTCAGAGTACAGACCTTAAAAATGCCATCCAGATACGTGCCGCAGCCTTAGAATGTCAAAAACTAGTAATGTCCACTAATGAAAAACAGGGTTGTGAATGAGATTGGAAGGCTAACTTGTTTTATATTTTCCACTTCAATGTTGCAGATCATTTGATCCTGCCCAAGCAAGCGTATTTCCAGCATTATAAACATGTTCACACCATAACAATAATCGTAGTCATAACTTGAGAGATAAAAGCTTAGCAATTCTGTGAAAGTGAGAGAAATATAAATCTTTAGTTTGGATGACTCGAAGAATGGAACTTTTTAATGGATAAAAAAACGTTGCTGGAGTGCAATTTTTTATATTTTTTTTTCTTTACTTTATAGGTGCAAATTGTTGCCCCAAATCCTGATGACCCTGAGGATTTTCCTGCTTTAGCTTGAAGGAACTGTTGTGAATGACGGTATCGCAAGATAGCTTTGGTGTAGCTGTGAAGAGACCAATTTTATGTTGCTGTGGAAAAAGAGAAAGTCTGAAAGTCTGAGTCTACATGAAAAACTGATTTGTTGAGACTTCTTTCTTTCTTTTTTTGTTTTGTTTTGTTTTGTTTTGGAGGGGGGCAGGGGTGAACGCACCACTTTGCTATTGGAAGGTCTTTCTGGAGGTTGCAATGGACTTAAATACTGTCACAGGTTGCTGTATCTGCCTGTTTTGAAGGAAGCTATGTGAAGGTATATGGTACTTTACTACAAGGCCTGAAGTGAAGCTCAAGTACAGTGTGTGAGGTGATTATACCACGATTCCCAGGATGGCACAGTGAAGTGTAAGCTGTGCAACACGTATGGTCTGCAGCTGGTCTCCAGTGTAGTCTTCCCTTTTCTCTGAGTGAGCTGAACCTTTGCATTTCTTACGCAGTGACACGTCGCCGTCCTTTGGAGGCTGGCAAATAAAGGAAACTGCTCGTTGGATTGGGTCGAGGTGTTATTTTCACAAGTCAAGAGTAGCAGACTGAAATCTCTGCTGTTTGACTGCAATCCAAAATCCATAAGCAGCAAATGTTACTCACCCAAAACAGTGATCATCTCTCTAGATAAGAGTGATCCTAAAATTAAGGCAGCACAGGTACTTTTAACTGATAGCTGACTATAACGAGCCTCGTTTCTGTAAAAAGCTATAGTTGCAACTATTTTGAAGATGATGGTGATATAAAATAGTAATTTAGATATAAAGACAGATTAGTTAAGGGAGCTCTATTTTTAGTAACTACAGGAGCATCTACATGCTAAAATGTCTCTTGCCTTATGAAGAAGTTTGTGGAATATTGAGGATAAAATGGGATGGTCCTTTCCTTGCAGCTTGAATGTGATTTCTAACTTGAATCGGATACTCTAACCCTTTCCTGTCGAAAGGAGTATTCGGAGCCGTTCTCAGGGACCTGAGAGAAAAAAATGGTACCAGAAATGATGAGGGAAGGAAATGAGGGAACTATGCTGGACATACTTGAGATCCATCAGCCACAAGTTGGTCTTCAGATTCCTGCTCAACTTAGACTCTGCCAGTTTGCTGGGAAAGCAGGATCATAGACTTTTCTGTTTTCCTGTTCTTTGCCTCACTTTATTTTATACAATTTCTGTGCAATCTCCTTTGAGAACAACTGGCAGGTGACCCTTGAGGTAGGGGGAAGCCTTGTACTTTGCTTTGGAGTAACCTCTAATAAGAGTAATAAATGTGTTTAGAAACTTAAAATAACACTTATCTCAGTGGTAAGGCTATATACAACTGGGATATAATCCTAGGAAAACCGCTGATTATTCCCTTGTTTTTCTTCCTTCCTTCTTCTTCTTTTCTTCTTTTTTTCTGTAAGAGGGTGTTTGCCCAAATGGTGCCACTTCTTATGAAGTTGAATTCCACTATATGGCAGTGAGATTTTAAATACCAGACAGAACTCATTCTTATGGTATAATTATAATCTGATAGAAGTATGGTAGAAAGAATGTGCAAAAACCATCAAAGTTACTGGTGTTATGGGAACCAATGCTGCTGTTCCATGAATTACTGAGCTGGATGAAATGACGAAAGGACTATTTCACCTTGTAGGAGCAAGCCATTATTTGAAAGCATTGCGATTTAAGATATACCTGTTCTTGCTCTTTTAATAAGTGTCTGGGTGATATTCTCAGAGGGCAATTTTCATGATTCAAATTTCATTGTAAATGACCCTCCCTATGGAGCTCCTGGGTTTTTCTTGCTTGTTTTTCTTCTCAGTGCTCCCTGTTTCCAAAGAGGCAGGGAAGAAGAAATTGGACTTTTTTTTTTCTCCCTCATCACCTGAGTCCCTGGAGAGCTTCTTTGGAGGATTTGCTTTTGTTTTTGATCCAGTTTTCAAGGTTTGTCTTTCCATCTGCCTCGTGCTAACTTTTCTTTTTGCTAAGGAAAGTAATGAAGTATGTCCTTAAAAGCAACCTCTCTTTTTTTGTTGTTGGTGGTTTTTTTCTTCGTTTGTTTTCCTACTAAAAGTTGATCCAGGTCTGTCCATTCTCTGGGAAGGTGTGAAAGGATTGCTTGGATGTTCCAAAGCTGTTGTACCTGCTGCTGCAGAGCTGCTGTTTACTGCTCATATGTTGATCTATGCTTTTTGTGTGTTTTTATTTTTATATATAAAAATATATATAAAAATATATATATTTATATATACATATATATGTATACATATACATATATATATTTTTATATATATATATATATGTAGACAATGACAAATGGTTTCTCTGGGGAATGCTTTAAAGCAACACTTTGTAGGAGCATATTTGTAAAATAAGCATTTTGGTCAGCATATTGTTTAAAAATTCCTGCCAAAGAAAAAAAAGAAAATTGGGCTGGTTTTGAGGCCTCCTGTTCAACCTGTGACAGTGGAGAAGCTCTTGCTGGGCGTGAGGCGCGGGGTGGCTGGTAGCCGCTCGCGCGTTCAGTCTGGCGCGTCTCCGCGCGGCGGGTGTGTGGCACAGGGATGTGCTGGCTGCGCAGCTCTTCCGCTCCTCGCGTAGCTTCGCCTCCCCTCATGTCAACCAAGGGTAGGATATATATATATATATATATACACACACACACATACACACACACACACACATACATGTATATGTGTAAATATGTTTTTGCAAAGCTAGCAGAATGTGGGCTACATCTTGGGGAACGAGCAGTGCTGCGTGTGGAGCTCAGTCATGCCCCTCCGACACGCGGCCCCGAGGTGCTCTGCTCTCGCCCCTGCCCCAGGCCTTGCAGAAACGCTGCTGCGTCCAGGGCGTGAGCGCTGCCCAAGGCCTGCGGAGACAGGGCCGTTTCTTGGGGACGGTGCCGCCGGAGCGGGCAGTGACGAGACGGGGCAGGGCAGGTCCCGCAGGGAAAGCAGCAGAGCTGCTGCCTGTGCGCTGGTAGAACACCTCGTGAAAGTGCCCTGGGAGAAAAACATGGATGATCAATGGGGACATCAAGGAATGAGGGCCATGGAAGCAACCCAGGCAGGTGTGAAAGAGGCAGGTGTGAAAGGGCAACAAACTCCACAGGTGTCAAGCTCTTCTGCTGTCAAGATGGAACATCCAAGCCATTCTGTGCCTTCCCCGGGATCGTCACAGGGACATGGGCACACACAGGCACACTTACATGCCTTTACACTACATAGAGTTTACACATAACCTACTGTCACCCAACCTGAACTTGCTCAACTTTGTAGAAAAAAAAGTACCTTCTTGTCACTGAGTAACAAACACGGAGTGTTTCTGTTCTGGTGATGCCTGCTGGGGACTTTACCGCGCAAGCTGAGCTGAGTGGAGCACGGGGCGGGAAGCTTCAGTGCTTGGAAGCAGTAGTAGCTGCCACAGGCTCTTCTATTTGCACTGCAATTTGGGATGTGTTAGGTGCCCTGCTGGGGCTGGTCTCTGCCTTCTGGAGCTGTGATAGAGGCACCGCTGCCTGGGTTGTTGCAGCAGCGGCAGCGCCGCTGGACGATCACTCGCCCCACGTGGCACAAATAAATGGTGTTTCTGCGCTCCCCACCTGCACAGGGGCTGCTGCAAATATCCATCTTCTCCTATTTTCTGTGCGATGCTATACTCCTAGCGGGCAGCAGGAGATGTTGGCAAAGGCAGCCCCTCTACCCACGGCACTTAGCACTTCAGCAAAAGGTATCAGAGTTTTGCACAATGTGGGGCGGTCTTGCTGGGAGATAAGAATAGCAGAAACAAGGTACAGATTTACTTTGGTCTCTTTTGGTGAGGAAAAGGAATAAAATTTTATGATTTTTGATGTAATCTGGGAAATCTGGACTTGTTAGTATAAGCTTTTTCTCTTGTTAGTGTGTGTGTATGAATATGCACATGGACTGAGTGCTGTTGTCGGACGTGTCGCTATTTCTGAGCAGGCAGCGCTGCTGCCAGGGCCTCATCTTTGCCTTGGCCCTGCAACACGGGAGTCCCAGCGGCCCGGGAAGGAGAGGTAAAACTGGGCAGCCTTCTCCATGAGTGGAAGAGGGGTGGAAAGTGCCTCATCACAGGGCTAGGAGTCGCTCAAGTAAGGAAAAATGCAAAGCAGTGGTTCATTTAAAGCAAGGAGCTGGCAGGCGGGTGGCAGAGCTGGGCGAAGCGGTGGCTGCCGGGGTGGCGCTGGCTGCTGCCGCCTCGGCCCCGTTCCCGTGTGGTGGCAGCGGCTGAAGAGCCGCCCCGTGGCCGGACGGGCGCAGGGCTGCCCTGGCTGCGTCCCGGGCAGCTCCCGCCCTGCAGTCCGTGGGGCACAGGGATGGGGCGACCCTGCTGCTGCACTGGCGTTGCTAGGGGGCTCGGCCAGTCTCCCGCCCCACACCTGGCGAGAGGAGCGCGGCAGGAGGCACCCGCCCAGGCAGCTCCCCGAGGGCCAGGCGGCAGCGCGGCCACCAGCGCAGAGCTGCGAGCGGGAGCTGAGCAGGGCTCCTCGCGGCCTGCACCTGGAGGCACCTTCTCCCCGCGCCGCGGGAGGAGGTCGCTTGGTGCTCGCGTTCCTGGGACACCAACAAGGGCTGACCCCAGCCGCCGGCCTGGCTCCCTGCGGGGGCAGGGGCAGGACGGGGCGCCGCGGTGCTGCGCACAGGCCCAACCCGCGGAGCAGGTGCTGGGGAGCCGCCGGTGGCAAGGCCGGGGCGCTGTGGGAGCCGCCTCCACCGCCAGGCCCGGCCTGTGCAGTTCCGCCTCTCACCTCGAGAAAGCCGCCCCAGAGAACGCATCTCTGCCCTCAGCAAACCCTGGGTCGCCCCATCTTGGAGAACACGGGCGCTCTTCTAAGCCCGGCTTTAAAAGGGAACACCTGTGTTGGGAGCTGGCCACCGTGCACGGGGTCCCTCAGCAGCGGCTTTTAGGCTGCGGCTCCGCTTTGCTCTGTTCCATGTGGTCATTGCTTTCCTTCCATGGGATAAGGACTACTGAAATCTCTAATGAGAGCATAGCTGTGTTTTGCCCTGGATAAAAGTGCACTGGTATTTTTCCAAAGTCTCTCAGAAGGCAACAAGTTTGCCGGGAAATTGGCTTACATGTTTGTGTATCTGATGTGGGTACGAGGCCCACAGAGGCCCTCCAAGCAACGACGGAGATCTCCTTGCTGGGGCAATCACGGAGAGCAGTTTGTTTATGAAACTACCTCTGCGGCCTTTCTAGTGTGTGCAAGCTGTGGATGTCTCTAATGGCCATTACAGTTTCTTAAGGAATTAAAAATTGGAAAATGGACAAAAAAAGACTACCATCATTTATTTCTTGTTTTCTTAGGAAAGACACAAGAACCTTTTTGGTTTAGCTGGCCCTAGGGTGGGTTTCTCTTAAGTTTAGTTTACTGTTAATAGTATGCCAGTAGTTCAAATACAGTTACCCCTTTTCTAAGGACAATTTCCTGAAAGGTGGAGTTAGAAACTAGTTATTTTTGAAATTTGCAGAAGTGTATCGGTTAGGGATTTGTATTTCAATTGCAGATTCTCAGGCAGGTGAGGTTTTTTTTATTTTTACAGATAATGTGTTAAATTGTCCCAGAAGTTATTCATACAAATACTATGTCCTGCTGGTTGTGTTTTTGTTGTTGTTGAATGATGTGACAAAAGTGACAAAACATGCTTCTGCTTATTATCTTTAATTTTACACAATTCATGTTTACAATTTTTACTATTCAATATTTGTTATAAAACCAGATACAATATGCAGTATTTTCAAATGAGAGACAAATGCATATTGAACTACAAGATAATATGAAGCTTTATCTTAAAAATACCTTCAGCAAAATAAACTCCCATTCTGTCACTCAATCCAAGTTAAAAAAATATGATTAGAAATATACAATTTAAAAATAATCAGGATGAACAGCACTGATTAGTCAGATTTTATAACTTGATAGTCTGTACATGAGTTTACACAAGACGAACAGTCTGCAAACCATTAATACAAAAACTGCAGTGCAACAAACTAGTAAATATCACCTTTTTCTCCATTTAATGCATGAGTCTATTTGTTTTTATAACAGCAGCACTTCCTCTATTATCTAACTGGGGCAAAAGGACATGATTTGGGCTTAACTTCAGTGCAAGTTACTGATGCTGCGAAAGAATCCAGCGATTTGACCCAAGATGCTACAGCATTTGAGTACGTCACATATTTTTGTGTAGGAAATCAAAGGAGAATCTGTCTCTCCTGCAAAATTGCACAGGAAGAGGAGGAATTAGAAGTTTAGCCAAGAAGTATAGCAGAAATAACTTCCTTCCTTCAGTAACTCCACACTATACCTCGAAAGCAGCTGCTGTGCACACGACCCCTTTGGCACATGGTATTTTACAGATCAAGAAAGACTTAGAAGACAATTGTACTTAAGACAGCTTTGGTGCAGTGTAATAAAAATGCAAGGCAAAGTATTAAAACTCAAAGTGCAAATGAAGTAATACACCTAGGTGGGTTGTACACAATGAGTTATGCATTAGTTTTTCATATAAGGCTGTTGGGAGAATTCAAATGCAAAATGTCATTTGACATTTATGTGCTTCTGCCAAGAAACAGTGGTGGACACATATCCATGCCAAAGATGCAGTTTTGGTTTAATTACACTTGCTATTATTATGCATTTTTTCAATGCAAATTTATTTCTGACATTCTGATTAACCTGAAAGAACTAGTGGCTCTGTTGGTTACTTAAAATGTTGTCTTGGTTTCTCTTTTCCTCCTCTTTTCCTCCCAATATTCATTTTTGGGCATTAGTATGTGGAAGGGGGGTGTGGAATAATCTGATTACAGGTAAAACACTGATACTCAGTGCTTGCAGGTAAACACTGATATTCAGACCTCATTTCAGACCATGATTGGAGAAATTATTTTTACCTCATTTGATCCAAATATGACCCTTGTTGGTTCTGTAGCCAATATTTGCAACTATCACACCATTATAAATCCCTTGCTCTCAGCAGAATTTCTACATATCAAAGGAGCAGCAGAGACACCAAAGACTATAAATAAATCTAAATCTTTCTTCATTTGACTCTCATCCTCCCACCTTACTGGTTTTATCCTTTCCTTCTGCCTGTAAGGCTTGTCAGTAAGTTCACTGACCACATCCAAGATACGAAGTTTTAAAGAACATATACATTGATTGTCCTTTACACAACATACTTGCTATTATGGTCACCTATGATGAGCTTTTGAGGCAGATAATGCCCTTACTTAAAACAAAAACAAGCAAACCAAAAGAACCCAACTCCAACCTCCCACCAAGATTAAAGTATCTAACAGCATGGTGAAGTCTGCTCCTTTTTCTTTTTAGGTGCTTCTTGTCAAGATTAACAGGAAAACAAAATGTATTTTGATTCCAAGTCTCATTGGCTCCTTTTGTGTTTTCTTTGTATTCATATTTGCAAAGTTACAGACAACCGTATTTAAAGACTTTACCTGTACTATCCCATGTATTCCACACCCCGTCCACCTTCCAATGCACAACGCTCTGCCTCATCAGGAGATGTGTTACAGCCAGTTTACACTTCTCATATGGGTATTCAAAAAACACCAGCCTCCTAATTCCATTTTGTTTTAGATCTATATATTGGAATTACTTTCTGAACTAGTATACTCACTTACATTCATAGAAAGAAAAAATCCCCTCTTACAAAAGACATTTATACCTAGATCTACCTCTAAAAGCTTAAGATAGTATCTATTGCTGAGACATTTCAGGCGTCTGCTTTTTGCTCCTGTCGCTAATTCATCAGGTTGGTGTATTCTGTGTGTGACTGTGGTAACACCAGCCGAGTCTGAGGGACGTGCAGGCAGGAGCCCCAGGCTGGCAGAGAGGATTTCACCCTCGAGGAGGGAGCCTGCAGCCTGCACCAGGTCAAACAAGGCAGGGAAAAACGGTGCCGCTGCGCGACAGTCTCGTAGCGGGAGAAAATTTAAGTCTCGGCAGATTCCTCTAAAAACGACACTGCTTTTTAACAGCAGTAAGCTGTAGCTTTTCAAGTCTTAATCAGATGTTAAGAATCACTATTTTTCTAGAAATTGTTTGTTGTAAAATGATATGCCTGCCCCTGAGCTCACTGCAAATTTCAGTGGTTCCATGATCTTTTTTTCCTTTTTTTTTTTTTTCCTTTTTGTGAGCTGCACTTAGTAGTATCTCAAGGGAAGCTAACAATGACCATTAATGTTATTAAACACACCAACAAAACCTGGGAAAAAATCTTACCTTTTGTTACAGTACAGAGTTTCAGGAAAGGAAAGAGTCATGACAGTTCAACATGATAGCACTGCTGTAAGTGGTAAACTGTTTTTTCTCCCCTTTACAGTCGTATCAGATTTAAAGCAAAGAGAACAAGTTAAAATAGCCATTGGTTGTGAACAATTAAAAACCTTTTACTACTAAAAACAACTTAATTGCTTTCAGTTAGGTTTAAAAAAGGAAATACACAACCCTTGAAAATAAAGCACTCTTTGGTGGAAGATGATTACTTATATACTCAACATGACAGCTTCACAGGAAAAAAACATACAGAGTAAGGAAGGACAGCCAATTAACATAGGAGAGTACCCACATGATCGGAATAAAGGCTTTGAAGTTGAGTTTCACTCTCTTTTGGAGACTTCAGCAGAAGCCCAATCTGGATGGAAAACACAGATTCTCATTATTTTAAGAGCTCTCACCCTCCTTTCACTTGTGGTGGTCAGCAACTAAGTGATTGCCATCACAGTTATACACATGCATCGTACGCACTAGCAAGCCCTCTTTATAATAGAGAGCTCATGTATTTACACCTGAGTCTAAATTTACAGTCAGATTTCATTGATTTTGTTTGGGTAAGTGTTTAGCACATTAGGAAGCTGTCTATTAAGCATGTTGACAGTTCATTTTATTCTGCAAATTGGACAACATTTTCTGCTTAATCTTTGCTGAAATATGGAGCCAAGGAATCTTCTTTTTTTGAATTGCAACAAGTCCTTTCTAGTGATATCCCTTTCACTCCCGAATATTCTCTTCAAGACTGGTTGCTTATGTGAAATTTAACGCAATACTGTTCTAGTCCTTGGGGCGGATTGGCTGCTGAAATGATAAAACATACATTTGAGGAAAAAAAAGTTAAATATATTCTCAAAATCCAGCATCTCAAACAAACATTTCTGGCAACAAAATATAAGCCAACAATACTTAAAGAAACAGAATACAAACTTCACTGCATTGAAGAACAAAGCAGTATCAGTTGTAAAGAAAACACAGATTGGTCTGATTACAGACAGCATGAGAAAAGGTTCCATTTCATACAGAAAAGCAACAGAGGATTCAAAGTACCATAATTTCATTAAGCGCATTTGCTGTAAAGCATTCCTTTTCCTTCTCTCCCTCTGAGGTATCAGACTGTAGGAAAAGTAGAAAGAATAGTAAAGAAATATTAATTTTTTTAAAGCTGTATTTAGATTACACATAGACAAAGCTCTGATATGCTGCAGGCAATTTTCAGTTAAACAAGGGAGCAGAAGGCTGCTTTACAATTCCCAGCAATGCAAAAGCATATTAGATTATCAAGGCATATTCCTCCTCGTTAGTTTTTGTGCTATACCTCTCTGACTAAAAGAAGCAGAGGATTCTACACAACAGACTCTTCATGGGTATTTTTCTCTTTCTCCCAGAGTAATAATCAACTCTTTTTTTTTTTTTTTTTTTTTTTCTTTTT